TATCCAGATCCGCGGATATCCGACGGAAAATAAAGATCCGTATTCGTATCCGTTACTTTTCTCACGGATCTTTTAACTCATTAATTTTCAATTGATAGGATGAAATGCTGTATATAGGTGATAAGGTAGATCTAAAAAAATATTAAATCAAGTATTTTTTATTTCTTTAAATCGAATATTTGGCACTTTTATATTGCAAACATTTATCGTAGTAAGTTACTATACCAATAGTACATAACTCAAAGGTACTAATCAACTATCTTTATAATAAGATCAATATTATAGAAACTTATTACAACACTTTCATAAATATAAGAAAATGAGAAAACCAAAACTTAAATCTTTTTGATAATTATAATGAGATCAATAAATTATTTACAAATAATATCACTTATAACTATGAGATGATGAGAAAACCAAAAATAAATTCTAATAAAGTAAATTAATACTGCGTACCTAGTAGGTACTACCTACCATATAAAGTGCTAACATTAGATTACACGAGTAAACACAGTGAAAATTAGAGGAACTTGAGAAAAATATTAATTATAAAGATCCGTATCCATATCGCGGATCTTGACACCAAATATCCGTATTCGGATCCGTATCCGCGGATATACGTTTTTAACGATCCGGCACATCACTAATACCTATACAGCTAGGCCGAAAATAAAAACGACAAAAATTTCAATCAAAATTATTTTATTGATTTATTTATAAAACATATATATCTATGATACATTCACTTATATAACATGTTCATATTTAATTTTGTTTAAAACTAACACTTAAATTACTTAACTAGTCGATTTAAACGGAAACGTTAAAAGTGCCTTAGAACATACAACCATATGAAATGCCTTTTAAGTCTACAGACTACATGTTGAAAACACTAATCTTCAACAATGGGGACTTAAGTTTATTTGCTCACCAGATGGCGCGCAAGTCGCGAGAGGTCCTGTCAAAGTATGTTTACTACACGCTCGTTGTAAATCATTCATAAATAAATAAATTTATTGAAAACTAGCTTTTGTAACTAGCGTATGATATTGACTCTAGTGGCAAATTTAAATGCGTTAGCCCTTATTCTTCTGAAATCAAGAGCCAGAAAAGCAATATTGCTTATGGCCCAGATCGAGAATTGTTTCCAACTAGGGCAGTAACTTGATATGGTCTTTAACCCAACCACCTCACAAATACCTTTTAACTTTATTATATAATTATGATTTTGGCGATGGCTAGCAGCCCAATTAAAGGACCCCCCAGGACCGGAGGGCCTTAGTCATGAGCGTCGCTAGTTTATAGTCCAGGGATGAAGAGGAAAGTTATAGAAGATGAGCCACATATGAATAAGGATTATGACTTCATTTGTTTAGCTGTCCCTCAGGTACATGACGTCACATTTTATACATTTTCTGTGACGTAGCGAGCCCCCACTTCTCAACTTTAATGGATGTTATCTAAGATACTTCTTGTTTAAATGGACCAAAAAAAATACGTTTCCAATACTTTTCTATTATCGAACTGACGGACTAAATAGATTTGCTTTTCTTTGATCCACGCATCACCCATATTCTAGGTGCAGAAAACAGCACATCAGGTTATGTTAGTCTGGCAAATTCACTTGATTTTAGATCTTAATACATTTTATGTAAGGTTGAATATCAATTGTGAAAATTTTGCATATTGCGCTAACCTGAAACTCCGACTGTCCCAATAAATAAGTACCTTAACGAACTAAGTACCTTAAGGGGGGGAAGGTGTTGGTACATTTGTCTATGAAATGCTGTCTGCAACATTATTATACATAACACAGTTCAGAATATAAATTTTAAATAAAAAGAAAACTCTGTGACTCTTATTTTCTTTAATTTAAATCGACTTCAACTAGATACTCATACAATCGAATCTAAAATTATGCACTTAATAAATATTTATTGCAAACATTAATATCACATTGAGATAACTTCCAAGATGTTATATAATAATACATTAATATATTTGATCAATTCTTGAAAATTGCTTAAAAGATAATTAAAAATAAGGCTGTTTGGTTGGATTGCCTTTGATGAAAATACGCTCTGTAGTAGCGAAAAAATTAAAAACTTAAAAACTTCGTCAGTCCTTTTGGGTCAAGGGCAGCCAGCGGTTAGAGCAGTCACCCGGATTGCGAAAGTCGTGGGTTCGAGTCCCACCTCAGAGCACCATGGGCTGGTGGATTTTTAAGGATTTTTCAATTAAAATATTTATTAATAATTTTTATATATTGAATCTTCAAATATAAAGACAACTAATATGTCGCCACGGATATACAATCAACAGCACATCAAACAATACAAAACTGTCAAATATCTCCACTGGATTTTCAACCTTAATACTTTGAGGGTAGAGTTCAAAATCAATTTGAGTGATAAATTTCTGTGCGGAAAAAAGATACAGCTTATTAATACTTGAATCAAATGTCTAATTGCCTTGATCATTGCATTCATACCTGGGACTTGGTCTATTTTTTAAAATCTATCTCAATTAATTTCAATTTGACATTTGAAAGAATTTCACGAACTTCACACTACAAATATCTGAAAGATTTTGAATGGACGATACCGTTTGTTTGACGTTAATTTGAATTGTTTAAGACAAAGCTAAAAATTATTGAGAGATGTTAAACGAAAGAGTTGAATGCGATCTTACCACGGGATTGGCTAAGTTTTTATAAAGTTTCTTAGCATTGAAATCATCATTTGTATTGTATTCTATGTATTTCTGTATTTCTTTGTAGTGTACAGTAAAGTGTTCATTCATTCATTCATTTTTCCTAACTTCTGAACCATCGTCATCATTCGTTCCAAACGCGATTGAGACTTTAAAGCTTACGTAATATCACAATCGCTATACCTTGGAAAGGGATTGCAATATAGTCATGAGTTAGAACCCTGGCTTTTTCTACAAGTTGGTGTAGTAAAAATAGCAGTTATTAGAAATTTGGATATCTATTCATATCATGATATGGATATAATTACATTGACAAATTGAATAGTGAAAAATGGTTACTATGGTAACTCATACATACGGTCAGTTGCACAAACATCCATTAAGATTTAATGATGCCTTTAAGCTCTAATGAATGACAAATTTGTATTTGGTAATGTCGTTTTAAACTAATGACAATTTTGATGGACGCGTGTGCAACTAGCTGATATTCGTCTTCTTTTTAATTAATGGCGTTGCTCTTGTAGATTTCACCAGAATCCAGTGTTTCGTTCAAATTATTAAGTATTTTGTAAACTCTGCTTTTTGCGTAAGCGACAGAAAATGTATTTTTATTTAGATGTACTTAAAATGTGACGTTGGATTTTTTTTTCACGTGCAGAAATTAATTTAAACACTTCACATTGGCAGAATTGTTAGAAACGCGCAGATGAGCCATTTATAAAAGAAGAAATAACGCTGACAGAGAAACGAATGTTACATTTGGAATAACAAAACAAAAATAGTTTTATTTATATTTCATTTAAATCCTATGACTTTATAATGATATATACATATTATATCTCGCTTTAAAAGATTTTAAGCTTTAATATGTTCACGATAAAGCTCAAAATTCTGGCTTTCGTAATAAACGATGCAGTAGTACTATTTTCTTTTTATTTTGTTCTAAACACACAAAAAAATTATGTTGCATTCTGCGATGTTGGCTCTACATATTGCACTAATCGTTTCGGCGGAAATACTTTATGGACACGTTTCCTAGAAATAAATAATATAAATTAATTATGTATAGGATTAGATTATTTATTATTAATCTTACAGTGTTATAAAAAACAAGGTTTAGCGTTGGAGTAAATTAACGCTGAGACTGCACTTAGTTTTTGTCAAAATTAATATTATTAAACAGAGACTTGGCAAAGGTTAACCTAGTACGAGGTACTACGGGAGTAATATTTACTCCTAGAAGGTTTGTTTGTTTATTCTCTGTATAATATGAATTTGGACTAATACTAATTATGCAATTTTAGCGTAAATTTACTCTGACGCTAAACCTTGTTTATAAGTCATAGTAAGGGTATAGTTATAACAAAAAGCACTTGATAATCGATATGTGTTATATCCAGAGGTCGGAATTAGGTAGAGTTATTTATGTACTTGCATCGAAATGTTGATATTAATGTGGACCTTCCCGGGATTTCTAATGGACAATCCCGTGTGGCCAACAATCTTAAAACTAAATAATAATAACAACGTCAGAGATAGACAAATAAAACAAAGATAATTAACATAAATTTTTATTAGTTTACATTAATTTACAATTTGATGCATATCCACTTTATTCTTTCGCTGTATGAAATCAGTGTAAGTACATGAATAACTCTACCTAATTCCGACCACTGGTTATATCACATCGTATCGATAACTCAAACTATATATTCTCATAATAAGGATGACGACAATTTTTTTGTTTGTTCATCTGTCGGGCTGATTGTTGAAAAATATTAAACAAGATTTTTTTTTGTTTTTTGTAATTATTATCTTTTTGCGTAATCATTAAATTACGGCGATAAATTAAGTTAAAATGTCATATGACGTCACATTTAATACAAAACTGTGACGTAGCGAGCCCCCATTCCTCAACTTTAACTAGATGTCGCTACGGTACTTTTTCGATTTCTCCACGATAACCCTTCCGGTTTTCTTTCATGTATAAAAGTAAATTAGTTTTCAAAACTCAATAAAACAACTCATATTCTATTTGTACTTTTTCGTATTTGTATTGATATCTGAGTTTCGAACTTTGAAAATTATTGTTTTTTAATATTTTAGTTAAAAGGAACGGTAATGACTGTCTTTGGTCCATTCGTTTCCTGCAAAAATCAACTTTTGCTAGAGTCGCCATCTAGTGGAGGTGCTTTTTTAGTGGTTTCGGTTTTTTTTTAATACTTCCTTATTAGACCTAAATAAAGACCAATCTCGGGGCAAATAAAATAAATATTGTAAGCACTCACCTATGTGTATATAATGAAGCTTTTTGTTTGAACGTTTGTTGACATATATCGCACGTTAGGGGGCGGTCATTAGAATGTATGACCTCGTGTTGATTCAAAGCTTTCTTGTCCTGTAAATGTATATATATCATATAGATATATATTTATAGAATAACTCGATGGCGTAGTGGATAAGCGCCGCGGCCCGCGATCGTTGTCGTTAAGCAACTTTCGCAAGGGTCGGTCACCGGATGGGTGACCGAAAAATTATTATCTCGAGCTACTCCGTGATTCGGAAGGCACGTCGAGCTGTCGGTCCCGGCTGCATTTGCAGTCGTTAATACCCTCCAATCCGCATTGGGCCAGCGTGGAGGGTCATGGCCCATCCTCCTTAACCAGCTATAAGGAAGGCCTGAGCCCCTGCAGTGGGGACGTAAAAGGGCTGATGATGATGATGATGATGATATATTTATTCATTTAATTCTGTTGTAGATGCGAGTGAGTGCTACGTACTACTTTATTTAAACAGTTGTTCTGAACGCAGCCCTCTAAGTACTCCCACATATATAACAAATTCTTTGTGCACAATGGTAAAAAGCCCTTTGACATTCTCTGCCAGTCAATCTTAACGTGATGTGGAGATTAAAATGAACGATAAAAGCGTGTGCATATGTAATCGTTGAAAGAGAAAGTACATATAAATCGGTGGCGTTAAGCAACTTTCGCAGCGGTCGGTCACGGGATGGGTGACCAAAAAATTATGTCGAGCTACTCCGTACTTCGGAAGGCACGTTAAGCCGTTGTATTTAGTTAATACCCGCTAATCCGCATTGGGCTAGTGTAGAGGGTCATGGCCCATCCTCCTTAACCATCTATATATCGCTTGAGCCCCGGGGACATTAATATACTGGTGACAATGAGTTTGATAACTTACCGTGAAAGCCTTCCCGCATATTTGACAGACATGATTCCTGGGTTTCTCTTTCTTTTGTCCGTGCATCCGCATCATATGTTTCTCAACATTAGCTCGAGATGCTATAGGCTGGAAAAATTAGAGTTTAGTAGGATTTTCTAAAAAAAGCGAGTCGGATTAGCGCATGACGGGTTCCGTTATATAATAAAAGGAAAACGCCAAAAAAATTACGTTTGTCGTATGGGGTCATCCATAAATTACGTCACACGATTTTCATGCTTTTTTGCCCCTCCCCCCGTCTTAGTCACAGCTGGTCACATTTGTAAGACTCCCCCCTCCTAGTGTGATGTCACATATTTTGCAAGGTTTTTGTAAAGTAATAGTTTAAACTTCGTGTTTTAACATTTAGATTGTAATAGATTTTGAAATGTCACGTCACCCCCTTGTCACACAATGTCACACTTCGTCGACCCCCTCCCTCCCCCTTAACGTGTGACGTAATTTATGGATGGCCCCTATGGGAGCCACCTTAGTATTTGTTGTTGAAAAGGCAACAGAAATAAATTATATGTGAAATTTTAAACTATCTAACTTTCACAGTTCATGAGGTACAGCGGAGTCTTAATAATAGGGTACCCGTTTTACCCTTTGGGTACGGAATCCTAACAATAACGTTTGTTTTAAATATTCATCAGTACATAGTATAAAACAAAGTCGCTTTCTCTGTCCCTGTATGCTTAAATCTATAAAACTACGCAACGGATTTTGATGCGGTTTTTTCATAGATAGGGTGGTTCAAAAGGAAGGTTTTTATGTATAATACAAGAGCACGCGGGCGAAGCCGCTGGCGGAAAGCTATAAATATAAAGGTCGTGTGTTCGAATCACATGTTATAGTGCAAGGGACAAAGTGGATTTTTTAAGCATTTTTCATTAAAAATATTTTCCAGTGCGGCATTGTGAATGCAAAATTGATCAAATATAATTAAAAAACAAAAACGTGTTTAATATTAAACAAAAATTAGTCATTAAATAAAAATCAGGCATCGCCCCTATTGTAAAATAATATGGCACCCGATATCTTACCTTACCACATATTGGACATTTATGTGAAGTTTTCCCCAAATGTTGGTAGTTGAAGTGGTCTTGCATAGCTTCTTTTGTAGGATAGCCTTTATTACACATAGGACATGGAAACCTATCAGGAAAAAAATACGATTTTCAAAATGGAATTACATAACTATATTATTACTATTTGTTATTATAAGGAGATATTCGTTAGAAATCACAAAATATCATAATAATACAAAATGTGTCACGATTATTATTAAAAATAATCACCAGCTTGAATTAATTACACCAATTAGTGACACTGTTTCACCAAATAGTGACATCGCTAAATCGAATATACTCACTTGAAAACACTATCGGAGGCGTGCGCCCTACTGTACTTTAAGTGGCCCTGGTACGTGGCGAGGTGCGAGAATATCTTATTGCACTCTGTACATTCGTATCGCTTTTTGTTCTGATGCCGCTGTATATGATATTTGAGTTGTATCACACGTACCATCTTGTGGCAAATGGGACATTCCTCGCGCGGCAGAGGACCTTCGTGGAGTCTATGGAGATATAAAAAACAGACTTCAATCATCATTTTCATCATCAGCCCTTTTACGTCCCTACTGCAGGGGCTCATGCCTTCCTTAGTGACTCGAGATAATAATTTTTCGGTCACCCATCCCATGACCGACCTTTGCAAAAGCTGCTGAATGACAACGATCGCGGGCCGCCGTGCCAACAAGCTAGCCGATCTTTGCGTAATGTTCCGTATTAAACCATTTGAGACTTCTTAAATAACATTATAAAAGGATGTACAATAAAATTGTCCTATTAAGAGTCATTTGTGGGAGACTGATTCCTGTGTAGGTTTAACCCCGTATTACATGTCATCAGGCCCCGCCCCAAATCAATTAGATAATTATATTTACTATGTTATATTTACTATCCAACCCACAAGTGAACAAGTACAACACAATAACAATAAACGAGATACAAAAATCAAGAAACTGATAATTTGTAAAGGAACATCTAGGTATTTTATCCAGATAGATATATACTAGGTAATAAACATTCAATTGTGATTTATTTATTGCATTACTTGAAACAATTATTCTGTATCCGTGTATGAAAGTGTCATAAGGTACTTCTTAAGTTTTTTATGACATAACCATTTATTAAAGTCCATCTTTGTTAAATAACAAAGATGGACTTAGATATCGAAAAACCTTGTCGCATGAGTCGTCCTACAACGCAGCGATAATATCGATTACGACGTGAACATCTAAGAGCCTGAAGGAGTTTCGATAAATCGAGCTGTTTCATTACGATATGAATGATAAAAAGCTGCCGGACAGTCAAAACCTTACTAATTCTATATAGATCTAGTGTAGGATCTAGAGAAGAGGTTTAAAATTGATGAATTTTCAGTTCAAGTTCAACAAGATGGGTTTTAGCAGCTCCACCACAGATCCCTATCCCATATCCTACTACTGACTGACACAACTCGTAATAGACGCTTCTGAGAGTACTCACATCAGTCACAAACCGCAAGTTTTTAAATATAAAAAATAGTTTTCTTACTTTACCACAAAGTGTTTTGATGTGAGAAGAAAAAGATAGTGACCTATTAAATAAAACGCCAAGATACCTGATATGACTTGTGCTCTGTATAACATGGCATGCACATTCATTGTCATCATAGTTACCACGACAATGGATCGTAATATAAGACATATTTATCGGAGGTAAACAAGAAGTGCGCATTGCAAAGGGCATGTATTTAGTTTTCTCAGAATTTAAAGTCAATAAAGGGTTTAGCCGGATACGTATGACGAGTCGGCCCCCAAATGGGAATCGATATTGAAACTTATGTTTTAATATAGACTTGATGTTCAAACACGATTTATGTACTTTTCGCGACCGACTTCCGCTTTGACCTTGAGATAGAGAGCAAAATATCCGTATGCTTGACTATTACTGAATGTGATATATCTCTGAAGCTAATTAAGATAAAGAAGTGAAACTAACGCGAGGTGTTAGGTTACATTACAGAGTATATCACATATATTTTTTTATAATTTTTAGAATAAAAAATTACATTAAAAAAATAAAAATAAAAAAAAATCATGTTTTTTTTCTGAGTTCTCTGTGACTTACAATCACGAAATTAATATATGTTATGCTCCTTTGTGTGCTCTATTACCCATAAAAATTGCGTGAAAAAAAAGTTGGTGCAACACAACGAAAAAAAATTATATGTGATTTCTGTCTTATGGTATACCCCTGTATTATAAGGTTTTCACATTACATCATTGTTTTTTTTTCGAAATTTCACATCAGCTTGTTTTAAAACATAAGTAACTAGTCTTAAGAGATGGGATAATAGTTAAAAAAGAAATGAAAAAAAAAAACAGCCAGTGTTCAATACTTATTATTATTACTTTTTCGTGTCTATCAAAATACAAGAAACAAAATATTAATCATCGTCACTGTTGTAATTAATTACAATCGGAACACTTTGAGTCGCAAATAACTTAGTTAGGACCTCATCAGGACGTACGATTTTGGACAAATATCGTCCATATGATAGATAATAAATAATAGCTGCTACATGAGAACAGCATCCCACTGTACGTTCGCCATTGGGGCAATCACAGCAATAACGAAGAATACTATTGTAGTCATTACCTTCGGAAATATAGTGAATGTAAATTCGATAGACTTTTCTATTTATATGTCTTGATTTTACTTCTGCTTTGATGATATTAGGTGCTGATTTCACATATTGTACTGAGAGATTATTTTGATCGTCCATTATTTCGGCCAAGTTAAATGCTGCACATTTAGAAGTAGAAGCTTTTTTGTTAATATATGGGATAAGTCGACACTTCTTACAAAAAATATCATTAACTATTACGATTTTATTCAAACAGTCACTAAACACTTTAGCTTCTTCTTCATTCTTTATAATTTTTTTATAACCAGGAATCTTACACAGGTACTTGTTACAATTATTACACTTTCTCGACATTATTACTTAATAATAATTTGGTTCGATAGTTAATAATTTCAAAATGCTGATACAAAATACCTATGACAGAATTTGAGTCCCAAACTGCCTTCTTGTGTAATACAAATGACTGCTACTTTAGCTAAACAAACGATGCAGTAAACAGCTCGATAACAAGTTCGAACTTGTTTGTTTATACACTCACACTACAAGGCGCGAATCACATATAATTTTTTTTCGTTGTGTTGCACCAACTTTTTTTTCACGCAATTTTTATGGGTAATAGAGCACACAAAGGAGCATAACATATATTAATTTCGTGATTGTAAGTCACAGAGAACTCAGAAAAAAAACATGATTTTTTTTTATTTTTATTTTTTTAATGTAATTTTTTATTCTAAAAATTATAAAAAAATATATGTGATATACTCTGTAATGTAACCTAACACCTCGCGTTAGTTTCACTTCTTTATCTTAATTAGCTTCAGAGATATATCACATTCAGTAATAGTCAAGCATACGGATATTTTGCTCTCTATCTCAAGGTCAAAGCGGAAGTCGGTCGCGAAAAGTACATAAATCGTGTTTGAACATCAAGTCTATATTAAAACATAAGTTTCAATATCGATTCCCATTTGGGGGCCGACTCGTCATACGTATCCGGCTAAACCCTTTGTACTAAGCCATTTTGGGAATGCAGAAAAACTTTTTCCCAAGTATCTCCAGAAAAGAGGAACGCTGTGTCATATGCGAAAGTGACTATCTTGCCATTTTGAAGTCTCAGATTGCAAAGGTCGTTGATAAATATAAGAAAAAGTGTAGGACCAAGAATACTTCCCTGGGGAATACCATATGAAACCTGCAAATCAGTACTGATTACTTTTTCGTCAAATTAACAGATTGAGTACAGTCTTTCCGAAACAGTGTCAAACGCCTTAGCCAGGTCATATCACAATAACATCATAAATATGGCAGACGTACGGTCTTTCAGATAGTCAGGGAACAAAGATAGTTGAGTACCCCGAATTCCTATCTTTTCCAGCTTGGTGAGCAGTAATGGTATCGAAACAGTGTCAAACGCCTTAGCCAGGTCATATCACAATGACGTCATAAATATGGCACACAGCATGTTTCCGCGGGTATACAAATAATTTGTTTTACTTTATTGTAACGCAATAAAACACGTTTTAAACGAGTAGCTCGGTGGCGTAGTGGATAAGCGCCGTGGCCCGCGATCGTTGTTGTTAACCAACTTTCGCAAGGGTCGATCACGGGATGGGTGACCAAAATTTACTATCTCGAGCTACTTCGTGCTTCGGAGGCCCAAAAAGCCTGACGAATTATTTAAACACTTTGCTTGGTTTCGTAAATATATAACTCTAATCCAATTGTACTGTTTGGCACTTTACTATGTAGCATTCTTATGAAACCTTTATTTTCTTATGGTTCCGTAAATCTATTTGGGTCATTATACACATATCAATCCACCATCAGATTTATTTTTCTCCAAAATTGTTATTTAAATCGAGGAAAAACATATTTTTATTCACACAGTCTCGTGACATTTCGAGCTGTGACGTCACATCTCAATAAACACGACTTCTGGTTGCACTCGCAACAAAGACATTGATGTTTAGTTTATTGAAATGTGACGTTACTCGATGCTCTAACATGGACGCCCGTGTTTCGGTTCTTGCAATCTACAGATTATAAATTGCAGGTTACTTTTGCAAAAATAAAATATACTTACAAGATATTTAAAAACAAAAAATAATACAAATTCATTTTTCGCATATAAGTTACCATTTCCAACATATTTCATATTTTATCGCTATAACATAGAGTTACCAAATACCAAACCAATATCAATGTTATTAATATAATTATAGTAATAACAAAGACAAACACTCACCTAAGATGCGTTGCCAGTGTAGTTTTGTTGACAAACCTTTTTTTACAATGGTCACACTGAAATCCCTCTCTATGACATCGGGCTACGTGAGTTTTTCGTACACGAGAATTCCTAGAGTTGAAAAAGATATAGAAGTTAGGTTAGTTCAGCGCGTTTGAGATAGTTAAGCAACTTCCGTAAGGGTCAGTCGTGAGATGGATGACCAAAAACTTATTTTGTCAACTATTAAGCCTTTGGTCCCGGCTGCATTTGCAGTCGTTAACACTCTCCAATCCGCATTGGGCCCGCGTGTAGGGTCCATCCTCCTTAAACATCAATAAGGAAGACCTGAGCCCTGCAGTGGGAACATTAATAGGCTGAAGAGGACTCAGCCCAGCTAGCAAAAGAACATATATTATAAATGCGAAAATTTGTGCGGTATGTTTGTTACTCTTTCACGCAAAATTTACTGAACGAATTTCGATGAAATTTGATACACGGATAATTCAAAGTCTAAATTAGCATATAGGTTACTTTTTGTACCACTAAAGAGATCCAAAGGGACTACACGGGCGAAGCCAGTATTTAACTACAGCTGTATAAACGACAAAACTTCTTGCATTTCGCCGTTCTCCTATCTACCTGAAGTCCAATATTACTCGTATTAGTGCAATGTCTTCCTCACACATCAACGGTGACAGATATACAGGGTTATGGGTAATCAGACCGGATCCTTTGAAGGGGTCGTAAGGGAGGTCTTTTATAAATTATTTTCACCTCACATTATGTATTCGAAAGTGAGCCATTTTGATGATAAATTGTATTTATTTTCTTTTCTTCAAAAGAGTTGAAGAAATATTTAATTATGGTCAGAATCTAATTTTGTTGACAGATTTGTATAATTGATTAAATTTAATATTTCAGTCTCACAGATTTTTGATTGTTTAACTATTATAACAGGAGTGATATATATACGATAAATAATACTTCTACAATGCCATATGGTCTAGTAACTGAGATGTTTTCTTCTATTTTTAGGAGGAATATTCTGAGACATTTCTTTTTTTGTCAATCTTGTATTAAAAAGTCAAGTCTGGTTGACTAAGAGAAATGCAATAGAAATACCAATATTATGATCGGTGTCTGTAAAACAACACGTGTAAATGTTTGATGATGTGAAACCTTTTATTGGCCTTAATGTTGAGCTTGTGATAACCTATACTATTATTTGTAAGCTGTTGGTTTCAATTATAATAAATAAATAAAATTTACATTTCAGTTTGTGATAAATATAACCCTGTATAATAATATTGTACTTCAGGTAGATAGTACAATGGCAAAATGAAAGTAGTTGAGATTCTATTCAGATGTTATTATTACTTAAACATTGGCAGAATCAGCCTGCAAAATAGTAGAATAGATAATTTATATCACTATCAATGAAACACACTCACTTGAAGAACATGTCGCATTCCAAACACTGGTAACCCTCGATGGTAGTTTTCGACAGTAGTTTCCTAAGGTCGCCAGGTTTAGGGGGCGGTTTGTTACTATTCGTAGTTTTCTTTTTACGCTGAATATTAAATAAATAAATAGATTTAGTTTTAAAAGTATACACCCGTACATAAGTAAATAAGTCATACTAACCCTAATTATCTCCAAAAATACTGGGCATACAATTTTGAAAAAAAAAAGTACTGTCAATATTTGATATAAATAAATATATATAAATAATAGACAACACCACATATATTGCTAAGATTCCAAGATGAGTAGCTAAAGCCCCGTAATAAAGACAACGAAGGTACAATGAACAGCACGTCAAATTTATACAAAGAAGTCAAATTTAACCACTTGATTTTAAACCTTAATATTTTGATGTAAGAGTCTAAGATCGACTGAAGAAAACATAATGCGGTACACCAGTGTATACCACAACACCCAGACCCGAGGCAATACAGAAAAAATCATTTTTACAATGAGCCGACCGAGATTCAAAACCTACACTTTGAAACAGGCGTGCGACTCACTCGGCCACGGAGGTCGTCATATTACAGGCAAACAGTTATATAAATAACTAACTGTTTTCCTGCGACTTCTTTCGCATAAATTTTAGTTTATGTCACCCTCGTATAATGTAGCTACTCGTATGTTAAAGAATCAAATCAAAAGCACACATACAACATAATAAGCTTGAGATTTAAAAATATATAAAGCTACTTTCAGGGGTAATAAATAAATAATTGTTTTAGAGAAATCGCTGAACCCAAAATTCTTGAAAACCCCAGTTCGGGAGACGAGGATCATATTACTATATTATGTACAATCCTTGTAACTAAAATAGCTAACCTGCCTATAGTTTAGAATGTATAAATAACTAAATGATCTATATTATTTTACTTAATCAATTTCGCATTCATAATGACATACTGAAAAATATACTTAACAAAAAATGTTTAAAAAATCCACTTTGTCTCCGGCACTATAATTTTGACATTTGCCCGGGATTACGAAAGGCCATGGGTTTTAGTTCTATCTCAGAGTGCCAGGGACAAAGAGGATTCTTAAGCATTTTCAATAAGAAATTGATCTATATTAATTAAAAAAATATTATTACCCTCCCTCTTTATATAGGTTGTAATATTATTATGTGCTAGAACTTCGTGGGATGGATGAGTTACATATACTGACCAACTTTTACTATGGTAGCAACACTGAATTCAAGAAAAAATAATCTGTTTCATACAAAATTGTAATACATCGTTGACAGTATGAAACAGCTGATTATTATTTCATGAATTCAGTGTTGCTGCCATAGTAAAAGTTGGTAAGTATACTTAACTAATCTACCTCACGAAGTCCTGGCACATAATAATACTACACTTTATATCTATACTGACATTATAAAGCTGAAGAGATTGTTTGTTTATTTGAACGCGCTAATCCCAGGAACTACTGGTTCGAATTGTAAAATTCTTTTTGTGTTGAATAGACCATTTATCGAGGAAGGCTTTAGGCTATATAACATTACGCTGCAACTATTGGGAGCGAAGAAATAATGGAAAATGTAAAAAAAAGGGGAAAATTATTCATTCATGAGGGCTTCCGTTGCGTGCGCTGCGAAAACGGTTCAAGATACCAAAAATATATGTATGAAAGAATTATTCCTCTTGAAATGATTTAAAAAAATGTCCTCGACAAAATATGTCTATTTTTTAAGATTAACTCACTAGAAACGTTTTTATGGTAATCAAATTTGGTCGAAATTAATGCATTATATGTTAAGAGTCCATGCAGGCGAAATACTAGTGTGTTATACTTTACCTTGCCAGTTCCAGCTCCTATTCTTATAACGGCATTAGTGACACTATTATCCAATTTCAAGTGAGTATTGACATGTAAACTTATCATTTTGACACTGTACTCGCGATGGCCGCACATCTTACATGTATGACGCAAGTAATGCATGTCTGTGTGTTCTGACAATTTCAGATCGTCCACATAAGTGTAACATATCTGGCAGGCAGATCGGCCAGGTTTCTAAAACGAAAAAGAAAAATGACGTACGGCAGTAATTCTAAACATTCATTTCCTCCAATTTAATTTATATAACAGTGTATTTTTAATATAATTATAAATTTTTGAAAGTAACGACAATTTAGATGCATAAAACTATTAAAGTTATACCAATTTTAATTTATGACATTTTTTTATCTAATTTGTAATTCTGTTATTAATGTACTGTTATACATAAAACTTTTTAAAACTTATTTATTTTTATTTTATAATGAGGAAGTATTAAAAAAAACGAAAGCACTAAAAAAGACACCTCCACTAGATGGCGACTCTAGCAAAAGTAGATTTTTGCAGGAAACGAATGGACCAAAGGCAGTCATTTCCGTTCCTTTTAACTAACGTATTAAAAAACTGAAATTTGCAAAGTTCGAAACTTAGATATCAATACAAATACGAAAAAGTACAAATAGAATATGAGTTGTTCATTGAGTTTTGAAAATTAATTTACTTTTAAACTTGAAAGAAAACCGGAAACGTTGTCATGGAGAAATCAAGAACGTACCGTAGCGACATCTAGTTTGATTTCGGAAACTAATGTCTTTTTTTAAATACTTCCTCATTATTACAGTTTAATTTAACTGTTTCAGTGTCCTCGTCAGTTCATGACAAGGTAATAAAAAAAAAACTAACATGTTTTTCACCACATGAAAGCAATAAGTTTGAGTTTGACTATGAAGGAGGTCACATTTTTTATTTTTTTATTTTAAGTGATAGTAAATTAATTTAAATTGTCTTTGACTACAAGAATTTTCTCAATTTTTTTATCTATAATCATGCTGATGCTCACTTTTTATAATATAATCAAAGTCAAAATAATCTTTATTCAAATAAACTTCTTAAAAGTACTTTTGAATCGTCCAACATTTTTTTCCCTACCACTCGTTCAGGACGTTTTTTGGCTGATAAGAAGAACGAGCAAGAAACTCACCAGCTCTAATAAGAGTAATGACATTTACAAAAACCATGTCATTACCAGATCAATACATTATAATCATTTAATAATAATGGAAACAAGATAATGAGTTTAGAAGTAATCACCTATCCAGTTGCTGGATCATCTCAAGTCCAAGCGTTCTGATCTGTTATATAATCGGATATCTTATAATAAGCTTTTTTAATAAGTATTATTTTAATAGTAGATTTAAACTGCATGATATCTAATTGTTGTATTTTGCTTGGGACCTTATTGTAGAAGCGCACACAAAGACCCTTGAAAGAGTTATTAACTTTTTGCAGTCTAGTGACAGGCACCGTTAATTAATTTTTATTTCTTGTATTAAAATTGTGTACATCACTTTTTATAGAAAACAAACTAATATTTTTACGAACGTACATTAAGTTCTCGTATATGTATTGAGAAGCAACAGTCATAATGTGTATTTCCTTAAATTTCTCCCTTAAAGAGTCCCTTAATCATTAATCATGCTATTTTATGACGCGAAATTATAATCTCTATATTTATACTTTGTAAATTTTAGTTTTTGTCCAATTCAGTGACTTTTATTGATGTGACATAACAGATTATTTGTACTTTTAAAGTCAACGACTCTGTTTGTACCGTCTGCAAAAACAATACAAAATAAAATCGACTACTCACCGCTCTATGGTCAGACAAAAAGTGATCTTCGACCTGTTGCTGAGTGTAGAAACCGATGATGCATAACTCGCATTTATAAGACGCACTCACATATTGCACTTTATTTTTTAATTCTGTCCTAAAATAGAATTTATTTCTACATAAAGGTATATCCATATTTTTTATTTCTATATAAAGGCATATCCATATAATATATCCCGCAAATTGATAATGAGCTGAAACCTTGCCTCAATAACAAACGTGTGACATCATTTGGAAATAGAAAGTATGGATAGCACAAAAAGCAAGAGAAAATTATTTATTAATTTATTGAAATATTTTTAATCACCAAAATATTGTTTTAATAATTGAATAACAATTCGTTTGTTAATGTATTTCAAGACTTTTCGAAAATAGCCAATTTGTATATTAATATTGAGATTTATAATGTCACCATAAATAAAGGAAAGGAAAAAAAAAGTATTCGAATTCACTTTGGAAGCGATATCCGCTTTAACTTGAATTGGTATTCTTCTTCTTTTTAATTAATGGCGTTGCCCTTGTGGATTTCGCCAGAATCCAGTGTTATGCTCAGATTAATTCATATTTTAGTATTTTATAAACTCTGCTTTCTGTATGTTGGTAGTGAAAGGCCAAGTTAACCTTTAACTATGGACGTGCGGTCTCACGGACCGCTTGCAGTTTGTGATTCTCGTGCCCCCCTTCTTCTGCGTATCCCACGCGTGTGCCGGCCTCAGTAGCTTCGGTTTTTGTGGCGAAACGACTGTTGAGCGTGGAAGTTACGTCTCCGGCTAAATGTTGCGTGAGTAATTTCGTTTTATATTTTGAGTGCGGTCTGTGAGACCGCGCGTCCACATTTATGCTATATATTACAGGCGATGGTGATTTTGTTTCTTTTAGATTTTGTAAACTAAAATGTTGCAAAACGGTCATCCTGACTTCAGGCAAACAAACATCGAGTTCGTTGACTCAGAGAGCCAGTAAAATATTGCGATTGGATGAGCCTTCTTTTGAAGACGAGTTTCAACGATTAATTTTAGAATCGGATCAGTGCGACAGCGATAGGGATGTTTATAATTGTTTGTTTTATGTAGCTTACATTGAAGCAAGTCATTCGAGTGAATAAGAGGTTGAAGAAAGTGGTAGTAGTACCACATTTGACGACGATGTAAGGAGATCGGATAGTGAAAGTTTAGATAACGACAATATACCTATGCAAAGATTGCCAATAAATATGACCAAGTTGGGCCCTTGTTGAAATTTTTATGTTTAGTGTTGAGAAGATTGTGTTTAGTTTTTTATGTTCTTAGTTTTTTATATTTAATTCTAAAAGAAGTTAAACTAACGAACAATGTCATTTTCTTGTGATAATTTACCTATAAAATGATCTCAAGCTCATAAGTCTGAAAAGTGCCTTTGATTGTTCTATTGTTAGATTAAGTTTTAAATAAATTAATTTTGCATTAAAATTGCATCTTTTATTTACACGTTATAACTCGTCTAAGGGTAGAAACAAAAATACTATACAATAATTACACTCAATAAGATAGAAATCAGCCCATAAAGATAGCGGTCTGTGAGGCCGCACGTCCATAGTAGTGTAACAAAAATGTAACGTCCATAGTTAAAGGTTAAAATTTAGAATCGTTTCGTGGCATATGTGAAGTGAATTTCGAAATAGAGATAGAATATCATAGTTGCGTGTCAATCTATCTTGTTTTGTATATTTATACAATAAACTAGCTGACACGGCGAACTTCGTACCGCCATATTTTATTTCTCTAATCGCAACTGAGAAAATAAAACCCTTCTGGTAAAATAAACACTTGCTTAAGAAACAATTAATTAGTACATTTCATTGGTTTACATTCACGACATAAGCGAATAATTGAGATGATAACTATCCTATCCAGTAAGTTAGAACAAAATACGGGTACATGTGAAATTTGATTGGAATCGGTTCAGTAGTTTTGGAGTTTATTGGCAACATACATCGTGACACAAAATTTTTATATATATAAAATAAGATGGTATCAATAACAATAGAATTTCTACATTTATATAAATTAAGCGGATGTCGCTTTCGAAGTGAATCCGGATACCCGAGTGAATTCTAAACGTGTTGCGAAAGCGGAAAAACGCGAGCGTAGCCGCTGGCAGAAAGCTAGTTAAAATATATATACCTCAGAGCCATAAGATCACCTTCCGTCATATAATCTGTGATATATCCTAATGATTTGGAGTTGTTTACTTGTGGTTTCTTCTGTGTGACTTCCAACTGTGGGACTTCAATTGTTCTGAAAAATAAACGGTATTCTACTCTATTTGGAATAGCGAATAATTATTGTAACTTAATAAGCAATAAAAATATGACATAACACTATGACGTCATAAATATGGCGGACGGCGTTTATAAAAATACGCGGGTATAAAAATGTTTTAAGTTTTGCTTTATTGTAACGCAATAAAATACGTGTTTTAAACGGGTAGCTCGGGGCGTAGTTGATGAGCGCCGCAACCCGCGATCGTTATTGGTAAGCAACTTTCGCAAGGGTCGGTCACGGGATGGGTGACCAAAAAAATATTATCTCTAGCTACACCGTGCTTCGGATGGCACGTTAAGCCGTGGGTCCGGCTGCATTTGCAGTCGTTAAAACCCTCCAATCTGCATTGGGCCAGCGTGGAGGGTCATGGCCCATCCTCCTTAACCATCCATACGGAAGGCCTGAGCCCCTGCAGTGGGGACGAAATAATGGGCTGATGATGATGATGGCGTTAAGATTTTCCCAACCCGAACTCGTAACAATATTATATTCCCAGTATGCTCACTATTACTTTAGTATTTATTGGTCGTGTAAGTCACGTCGGACGAAGTCGCGGGCACGGCTAGTTTTAAATAAATCAACTGAAAATAGTCTTTATAATTATAATGTCATAAGGTTCATAGTTACCTCAGCAATTCCGTATCACTGATACAGTCCACATAGTTGGCTTGTAAAGGTGTTATTTTTATTTTTTTTACCGCTTTAGGCTGCTCGATCATTCTAAAAATGTAATATTTATTTTATCTAAAAATTTACAAGCCATAAGAATCGAAATACAATTCCAGCGTTTGGTTTGTGATACAAAAACTAAGCAACTTTTGCAAATGCCTGTCACATGATGGGTGACCGAAAATTTACTGTCTCGAGCTCAATCCTGCTTCATGATTTCTTCCATACGGAGAGCCTACGTCTCGACAATGACGTATAAATTGCTGACGATGAATAGCAAAGAAAAAAAAATCGTGGTCACCCATCCGAAAACAGACCAGAGCAGAGGTTGCTTAACATTAGAGATCGCTTGTAGAACGTCACTCACGAAATGCTCATCTGGTCTCTCTTGTTTATGGTGTCAGCGGGTGACACAAGGGCATCAGTGCCGACCACGATACGCGACATGACACCGGTCACCGGATTCTCCAATACCATTTCGGGCACTGCAAAACAATATTGAATGACACAGTCAAAATTTCAATTCAAAGTTTATGTATATTATTTTGTATGTATAATACTACATATATATTATAATACATTATTATTATTATTATATATTTTTGATTATGCTGATATCAATCAGACTTTCCTCAACAGACTGGATCGTCTTCTCAACAACACCATTCGCTTCGTTTTCGGGTTACGTAAATACAATATGACCATATTCCTCACTTCCGTCAACAACTTAAGTGGCTGCCCATTCGTGAGCGCAGAAACCTAAGGATCGTATGCACCCTCTTCAACATTCTTTTCGATCCACGTACTCCTGCTCTTTCACTCTGACTGCCATTCGACTATGGAATGCATTACCATTTGACCTTCGTAACGCCCCAAACAAACTCTCATCTAAGTCCGAAGCTCGTAACCACTATTTCCTGTCTACTTCCATTTCATAATCAGACACCACCATTTCAGTACTCGTTATATCTTATAATGTATATGTATATATAATGTATGTGTATTAATATTATGTATATATGCGTATATGTATTGTATGTATAGTTACGATTTTATGTACGGTTTTTAATCTTTACCGCCTACTACTGTTCTGTACAATCTATCTGGTTGACTGGGAGAGAATGCCTCTATGGCATTAAGTCCGCCATTTGTCCTTAGTTAGGCAATAAAGAATAAATAAATAATACTAGCTGACCCGGCGAACTTCGTACCGCCATATTTTATTTCTCTAATCGCAACTGAGAAAATAAAACCCTTCCGGTAAAATAAACACTTGCTTAAGAAACAATTAATTAGTATATTTTATTGGTTTACATTCACGACATAAGCGAATAATTGAGATGATAACTATCCTATCCAGTAAGTTGGACCAAAATACGGGTACATGTGAAATTTGATCGAAATCGGATCAGTAGTTTTGGAGTTTATTGGCAACATACATCGTGACACAAAATTTTTATATATATAAGATAATATAATAATCTTTATTGACTATATAATCGATTATATAGTCAATAACGATATAGTCAATGAGAACGAATTTTTACACCAGTGATTCTTAAAATATTTTTCATTAACATCTATTTATCATCTGTTGCTGAACTTGGTTGGTACCTGTATTTCAGCATACAGCGCCACTGTCCTCAGAAAATATGTAATAAAATAAAATAATAATAATAATAAGCCACACTAAATAGATCTAACAATCAGAAATAATCAACTTGTACAAGTTATTTATATGTAATATAATCAATAAAGTGTAGTGTAGGTAGGGTTACCAGGGGTTTAAATCGAAAAGCCGGTTGCATGCAAGTGTTTGTGCAAAAAAATCCTGATTTCTGTAAAAAAATCCGGTCTTTGACCGAAAATCAAAGTCACTTAAAAAGGTTGGGGGCCGCCCCTCCCGCGCCTCTGCATGTCAAGACGTGCATACTCATCATATGGTTGTTTTAATTTGGCGTTCGCTGCGCATCGTACCGGGTGGCGCTTATTATTTATTGACATGATTTATCCGGTCAGATGGTAACCCTAAGTGTAGGTATATTTAATATTGTAAAGTAGTATTGTTTTAATAATTAATCTTGTTTCGTTTATATATCTTTGAAACTGATTTTCAATTTTTAGTGAACCTCCAATAACTTCTTCGATATTTTGAAACACAAATAGTTAATGGAATTTTCAAACTATAATGGACGGATTTGATACATAATTTATACAGGGTTATTATAATTAGTTATTAATCAGACCGGATCCTTTTAAGGGGTCGTAGGGGAGGTCATTTATAAATATTTTCAACCCATATTGTACATCCGAAAGTTATTTTTTTATTTGCAAATCTACAACAACAAAAAAATATTTGGGTTTTATTATTATTTATCACTGGTATTAAAATACTTATTCGCGCTTAGGTGTTAATGGTTTGTAGGGTCTAATACAGGAAACTATCGTAAACATCCATGACGCAAGTGGGTTAAGCTTACATAATAAATTCTTAATACTGATACAATTATACAAAGGTACGGTTTATCTTTACCGCGATTCAGACAGCCACAACGCAATCTATCGAAAGCAGAATAAGCAATATATTGGACTGTGATTATTTTAGTATATTTATTACGATATCGAAGTTGGGTGCTACAATATTTAATAACAACATAAAATGATAAATAACGAACTTTTTTTGGTCCTGTAGGTCACGTGATAAGTTAGAAATTTAAGTTTAAAAATTCGCGGCTATATTCTTTTAACAGATAACAAAACTAAAGGAACACTTTAGCAGCTTTTAAATCAGCCGTCTTGTTGAACGTTCCAAATCATCTATCCAATTAGCTATCCATCTATAAAATAATATTGGCTAGCCGTCCAATAGAACGGTTGTTTTAACCGGTTAGCTGCGACATGGAATCACCAAGTTTCTGCGACGGTTAAAGCCCAAAATGGTATTAATAAGTTTCTGTCACGGTTAGACAAAAAAAAGATTTTTAAAACTTTTATTTGCGCATAAATAAAAGTTTAAAAATCTTTTTTTTTTATTTATATATTTATTATCTTATGAACTTATCTTGAATTAAATTATATTTTAACCAAAATATAATTTAATTCACATCTCCAATATCATTAGCGGCTCTCCTTAAGCCAATACTATATTCAACCGTCGCACTGTATAAACAAGCCGAAGTCCTTAGCGTCAGAAAACTTTATCTGGTACGGGTTGTGACCCATATGCACAGAGTAGTATTAACATCAGAATGCTATTAGCAAATGCTCAAAAAAAAGCGTCTTTAAAATTCCAATACCTCTTACAAAAACAACTTTTTCGCAACGTTTAGCCATTTTCGATTCCCATATATTTATAATAAACTTGGCTCTCGCTGCGATTTTAGACTTGAGGCGGTTCGAAAAGCAAAGTATCTGGTTACTAATATGTTTCTAACATGGACTCACAAAGATACACAAGACTTCCTGAAGGTAACTGTGCGAAGGAACACACACACTCACACACACATATACGCATACACACACGCTCACGCGCCCTTTTTCGTTCACCTTTTCATTGTAATGTTATTTAGATTTAAAGTTTGTTTTTTAGTTTATTTTCTTTTATTTAATAAATCGAACTCTGCTGTTCCACGAGACAGATCTTGCGTAGTGTGGGGTGGTCCCCATTATAAATTTGATATTTTTAATATCTATAATAATCAGTGGTCGGAATTAGGTAGAGTTATTCATGTACTTACACTGATTTCATACAGCGAAAGAATGAAGTGGATATGCCTCAAATACCGAGAATAATTTTAATTTTATTTTTTATGAGTCTAGGCTAGAAGCAAAAGTATTCGCTCGTATTTATAAAAAAAGTTTATATCGTATTTATAAATACAAATCAATAATTTGTATTGTAAATTAATGTAAACTAATAAAAATTTTATGTTAATTATCTTTGTTTTATTTGTCTATCTCTGACGTTGTTATTATTATTTAGTTGTAAGATTATTGGCCACACGGGATTGTCCATTAGAAATCCCGGGAAGGTCCACATTAATATCAACATTTCGATGCAAGTACATAAATAACTCTACCTAATTCCGACCTCTGATAATAATTAACCCTTCAATGTATTCGAATTTATTTTACCTTCCAGAATGTGATCGTCTATATTCAACTGTATATTATCACGGACTGTTTGAGCTATATCAAAATGCTCATTCTTAACATCTTCAGAGCTGACTAGATATGGCTGAGGCCATTCGTCTTGAGTCAGATACATGTAGATATTGTCGTAATCATTCTTAGTGACAGCCACGAGAGAAGAAAGCGATTGAGACATGTATGTGTGATCTAAACTCTGAAACAAATAACAAATGAATTATTATATTTGGTCAATGTTTCACTGACAATGCTATACTGGTGTGGGCTTCTCCCGACATATTACATAAACTTATTATGTATATTCGGAGTATTCTGTTTTTACCGTGCTACTAATAAAGTTGAGGAGTGGGGGCTCGCTACGTCACAGCTTTGTATAAAATGTGACGTCATGTGACATTTTAACTCGTAATGTAATGATTACGCAAAAAGATAATAATTACGAAAATTATAAAGAAAATTCTTGTTTAATATTTTTCAACAATCTTCCCGACGGATGAACAAACAAAAAATTTGTCGTCATCCTTATTATGAGAAAATAAATATATAGTTTGAGTTATCGATACGATGTGATATAACACATATCGATTATCGAGTGCGTTTTAACACTATACCGTCTCAATATACCCTTACTATGACTTATAAACAAGGTTTAGCGTCCGAGTAAATTTACGCTAAAATTGCATATTTAGTATTAGTCCAAATTCATATTATACAGAGAATAAGCAAACCTACTACCATCTAGGAGTAAATATTACTCCCGTAGTACCTCGTGCTAGGTAAACCTTTGCCAAGTCTCTGTTTAATAATATGAATTTCGACTAATACTAAGTGGAGTATCAGCGTAAATTTACTCCAACGCTAAACCTTGTTTATAAGTAACTGTTATTGCGTTTGCATTCGGAGTCATAGAAGTATACCCACAGCCTTACATCAATACTTTCCATTGTTATATTGGAAAGCATTCTTAATGGAAAAAGCTTAAAATGAAAATACGCTCACTAGTAGCGAGAAGTAACAATTGGGGTGATTGAGTTCAAATTCGGATCTGTATTTTTACAGAATCACAGGGCTGGGTCTGGTAATTTTTTTAAGCATTTTCCATTAAGAACAAATGAATATCATAATTGCATTGTACGGTCTGCCATCATTCTCTATAATTTGTATGTGTATGGGGTAATAATTTTTAATAACACTCCAATTGTCATATTGAGTTAGAAATTATTCAGTAGGTAGATTGATTTTTGGTACTTGAATCACAAATGCTCGTAGAAAGAATAACATAGATAAGACATTTTTCTAGAAAGTATATCCGGATTTGACTAAATGCTGTTTTAGTCGATAGGTGGTGATATTGTTAATATTTCAAAATTGAAAGTAGAGTAAACTGTTTAAGTTAAGGATACAGTTCTTGCTAAAATGTGTTCCCACAACAACCCACATAAGCATTTCTAAAGTAACAGAGTGATTGATGCCTAGAATAGATTGCCAGAAAATGTAATTGCAGATAATAATGTTAACTAATTTGAAGACAGACTGGTATATACTTGAAATGTAAATCATAGAGAAAAACAAAAAATGTGTTTAATATGTGTTATGAAACAGAATAGCTGACATTAGGTACAGGCACACATCAGTTGTATCAACTGCCTGCCTAAGTCACAATAATAATAATAAGTGTCAGACAAAAATTATAATAATCAATCAACGACAAAGGATTGTCCATATTAACGTATACATTCCAGATCAATGAATTTAATTCAATCTACCTCCTTCAACCATTGGTGACTAATTTATTAATTTGGAACAATTTTGAGGTTGAAAGAATAACATGGATAAGCACATTACCTCTTGTGTTCTACTCATGGCCAGAAAGTGCAAATGTTCTTGGGCACTTTGAACTTGAATTTTGAATCTGCTAAACTTCTTCATCATTGCAAGGCATTCCCAGCATATGATATTTTCAATTTCGGGTGTTAATTTTCCAAACTGTAATCAAATTTAAATTTAAAATATATTATTAATTATACAAAAAAGAAAAATATATAAAAACACCAAATCATTGGAAATATTTGGAGATATAACTATAGGCTTCTTTTGTAAAAGTATTTATATATCTAGTGTACTTATACACCAATTTTTATTTTCTGGATTTTAAATTATTGTGTTGCCATTCTGTGGTTCACCAGAATCCATTTGTTTTATATTTATTTATTTCTATAAACAAATCAACTGATATTAATTAAATCGGTCACATAATATCTTTTTATTAAAGGAGAACTAAAGTCAGTATTCAGCTTAAGCCAATCGGCATCCATAACATAAAATTGATAATGACAAAAGAGAAAATATCAAATTTGTATGTATTGACTTATTATAGTCAGGTAATTATTTAAATCTGTTACTAAAGTTAGTCATTGTTTTATAATAAGACACAGTACAGTCTGCTATTTTTAATTATTTATTTTATCAACTAAAGCGTTTCCTAATTTTTGCAGATTGTATTGTAATAAGTGAAATATAGAAAGGAGTAAACATCAGGCTAATGTCTGCCATACAAACAGATCTTTCTCAAAAACAAAATCACAGAAATATATATATAAACCTCCAAGCGGGTCCAGTTAACAAATTTTTGGTCACCCATCTAATAGCAAACCACTGTGGTATTGAACTTCTCGACACACAAAATATAATGAGCAAATAAACTTACTCTATCGGCTTCGAAGTCGTGCATTAGTAGACGGAACACTTGGAATACAGGATCGCATTCGTTCAAGGAATACATGAGTCTATCACTGCTTAGACAGGTACTGCATACAGAATTGAAGCCACTATGTACGTCTTCCTCCATATTATTTTTTTATTTCAAGCAAAATTAATTAAGAATAAGTTTTGTTATTTTCTTTAAAAAATTAAACCCCTACTAATATAATTCCCCGTGAAAATATAATCTACAGAATTATAGGCATTTAGAAAAAAATATCGTTTACACTAAATTTACTTTTTAGTGATAATTTAATATAAACTAAAAATTAAAAGTTAAAAAAGTTTGCCGAACTAATTTGTTTTGATGATACTCAAATCATAACAAAAAGTAATACTCCCAATGTAAAATAGACGAAATTTCATGAAGAATACACAATTCGATAACGACACCACAAAATGGCTGCTTTACCCAGTGTTGCAAAGTAAAAAATTAGAAAATTAATTATGAAGGCCCAAGTAAAAATTGTTTTTTTTTTATAAAAACTGTAAATCATCATCATGTAAATGAACTTATTTAGTTCATCAAAAGTTCAGTACTTATGTTGTAATATTAAAATTTAAATATAATATATTCCTATTGGAATAGCGAGCGTTTCCTATTTGAATAGCCAAAGTAATTCCTTGGGCGAGGCACAAACTAGCCGCGAGACAATAGACTCCGGGGCCTCACGGACCCATCGTTTCAACCCCAAACGGCTCAAACTTTTTCTTAAAAGCGCAACGATGCGCTTAAAGAATATCCACAATCGCGATATGAACGTCACCTGAGAGCATTAATATATGGTTAGTTAATTCCTTTAAGAAGCATTCATCAGCTTCACCGTTATTACCTCTTGAGAGATGTTTTAGGTGTTGAGGCGTCATACCATCTAATCCACCGGCGAAGTCACTTGGAACTGACTGCTTCCAAAACATCGCGCGATTCTGTCTGCAAAAAGCATCAGAAGGAAATGTAGAATTTCGTCTTGAGGTATAGATATATATATATCATAGTCATACATGTATAGAGATATAGCATTGATATTATTTTTACACTTTTACTATTAAGTATTTTAATAGGTACAGTAGAAGTACATAAAAGAGATATTATAGCAAGAATTTTTTTTTAGTCTCTTTATGTTTGAATAAAAAGATTCGGAACCCATAGCTGTATGAATTTTTATTCTTTTGCATCAATTATTGGTCTGTGTCACAATCACAAGTACAGTCGATAACACCTGAAGTTGTACCGATACTTATTCTTGATGATTATAAGCTGTATCTCTATTTAATAAAGTTTTAAATTGATTGCAAAATTCTGATATATTATTTATACTTATGTAGATCATTGACCATTAGAAAGTTGCTCTTTCTTTTCTAATAAAAATAATAGTCTGAGTTTACAAAAATGGCATTGATTTATTTTGTTTTAGAAGATCGATTATTTTATAAAAAAAGAAAAGTTGTTTGCGTGTGACTAGGATAGCGTTGTTTCAAATATCAAACAAAGAAAATTTAAAGAATACCTGAAATGAAATCTGTTGTTGTGAATGTATTATTTAAATAAATGCGTGTAGGACTAGCTTGTCTCACACTAAACCGGTCTGAGGTTTAATTTATACTTTAATTTGTAAACAGATTCCTGAAGTTTTACTGTATATGAAATTGTCTCCGGCTATATGTATATGTGCTATTTATCTACAAAACACTTTTGTTAAAAGTCATAAAAAGTTTAAATGAAATAAAGTGAAAATGGAAGAGAAAGATGAAATTCATTTGAAATTATTATGTATGGCATGTTTATGCGTTGGACGTACGCAGCACAATATTACTGATGAGAAACTAAAACGTTTCTATTTGGACAGTTTGAACGAAATACCTGTGAGTGAAGTAATTATTGTTTATTTATTATTGAAATCTAAGTAACATCATCATGAGATCTTTTACATCCTCACTGCAGGAGCTTAGTTCCTTACGAAAGCTTAAGGAGAATGGGCCATGACCCTCCACATTGGCCCAATGCAGATGAAGATTATTAACAATTGCAAGTTAATGCAGCCGTGGCCAATGGCTTGACATGCTTTCTGCAGCATGAAGTAACTCAAGATGAGTTTTTGTTGGTCACTTATACCTTACTCATAGATCTAAATTTCCCTTTGCAACGCGCACTAGCGCCTTGGTTGTAATATTTTAATTTCACCATAAGTTCAAAACCAAACATCCAATTTTAATCATTCAAAGACCAAATATTATCTACATAAACTGTACTTAGTGATGAAATAATACACAAATAATTTTGATAAGGATTAATAGCATGAGTAAAACAAACGTGTTTAAAACTAGCCCAAAAAAATTCAAGATATTTCAATAAAAAAATGGTTGTTGTGCCTCACTCCATTTAGATAGGTGTAGTGTGTCGCTGAATTTTTTATAGATATTTATCAGATCTACAATTAATTACAATATTTTATGGTTTAGGCAGCGTACGCAAAATAAGTAACTTTTCTGGTTGATTTTTCACACCCAAATATCTTACGGAACCGTATTTTTTTCCAAAATAAAATATAGCCTACGTTACTCGTGGATAATGTAGCTTTCGAATGGTGGAAGAATTTTTAAAATCGGTCTAGTAGTTTTTGAGCCTATTCATTACAAACAAGGTTTTCCTCTTTATATTATTAGCATAGAAAACACATTCTGTATTAGCAAAAAAGTAACAAGTGCTTGAATAATTCATCAGTCCTGTTAGGTAGGTAGAGCGGTCATGGGTTCGAGTCCCATCTCAGAGTTCCAGAGACAAGGTGGATTCTTTAAGCATTTTTAATTAAGAATATTTATGAGTATTTTAAACATAAAAAATAAATACGAGTCTGAACAAAGGATAGCAATATATCACAATATATTATAATGTTTCAGCTCTGCAGCATTCCGATTGCCAATGTGCACGTTTGCTGGGAGTGCAAAGCTATCATTAAAAAGGTTGTAGCGTTTAAAGAACAGGTTCAAGATTCTTACAGAATTCTCCAAACGTATACAACTGAGGTAAGTTCAGTTATGATTATAAATGAGCAGTTCAAGTATTATATAACTCAATTTTTGAAGATTTTTGACTCCTTCCTCACTGCAAACATTATGTTATATACCTATAAGTGGATTAAACTTATTGGTTTCCCAGCAGAAAAAACTTGGTTGGCAATTTTTTGGCACAGTTGCCCTAGCAAATCAACATGAGAGTTTTCATAGGGCAGGAACAGCTAGTGATGCAAAACTCCCTCTAAATCATACTAACTAGAAAATGTTCTTTGCCAGCTTTGGGAGATCTTTGTGAATGTGTTGTCTTGCTGTAGTTATTAGCTCAGCTATTTATTGATAGCTGTTGTTTCAACCAATCAGGCTGCAAACTGAACTGGATTAGATAGAAATGCTTAAGTTTCCTAAGTTCCTTCTTTTTATTTTTTTTTTCTTTAATAACAAATGACATATTGTACTTAGAAGTCGCCTAAATGTTTAGGAATTGTCTAAAGTAAAAATGCATTTCACCATTGACTAGGAACCACTTAACGAAATTAAGCAATGTCCAAAGTTGTGATATTCGTTATGCGGCGCATGACGTTTGCGCTAGGCATTTGCGCATATGACACGTCATAAATAAATTAATATTTAACCTTAGGAATATAAGGAGTTTCATAATTAAGCTACGCCTTGTTCTAGGTTAGTGTGCGCATTTTATTCTAAACTAGCTTTTGCCCGCGACTTCGTCCGCGTGGTAAAGTTACTTTAAACAGCATTTCTAACGAATATTATCGTGTATTATGATTATATCGTGTAAAATATCTGAAATAAAATTTCATTTATCAAAATTCTTTCTTAGGGGATGCCTACGTCATAGTAGCTTTATGCATGAATTTGACAAAGTTTCATACAAACTTTCATACTCTATTATATCCCCTTGGGGAAAGAATTGATAAAATTCCTTTCTTAGGTGATGCCTACGTCATAGTAGCTTTATGCATGCAAAGTTTCAACTCGATCGGTTTAAAATTGGCTAAGTTTCATACAAACATTTCATCCCCTATTTTACCCCCTTGGGGAAAGAATCGATAAAAATCCTTTTTTAGCGGATGTCTACGTCATAACATCTACCTGCATGCCAAATTTCAGCCCGATCCGTCCAGTGGTTTGGGCTGTGCGTTGATAGATCACTATGTCAGTCAGTCACCTTTGAGTTATATATGTTTATGAAAATTATTTCCTTGCAGAATCTTCCTGAATATTTATTAACTGATGTGGTGCGTTCTCCTCGTCTCGTTCTGGGTACAGTGTCGACGTTATCAATATTGCCATCTCAAGAGAATGTTGCAGGATCAACGTCATCAGACGAACTCAAAGATGAGGTCAAAGCTGAACCGGATGAAAAAGGTATTCTTTTTAAAGACTTAAATATTTAGTACAGTAAGATTCATTTTATGTGGCTTACAGTCAGTTGTTTGTGCATCATTAAAATCATTAATCATTAAAATTTTCATTAGATTAAAGTGACATTATCTATACAATTTTGACATTAATTAGAGCTTAAAGGCGTCATTAAACCGTAATGGACGTTTGAACAACTGAACGTTAGTGATGTGGTATATCGCAAAACGCAAAAACGTTAGAACAAAGTGTAGTGGAATTAATATAGATAAATACATGACCGGAGGGGGGGGGGGAGGGTTTAAAAGTCCTGAATTTTGTGTGACGTAATTTATGGATGGCCTCTAATAATAGCAATAATCATTTAATCCTCACCATAATTTAACCTTGAATGACATGGGAATAACAGTGTGCCACATAGCCAACTATCATGGACCGACATCAGCCCTCCGATTCTGTAAAAATCCGAACCCGAATTGGAATTCACTCAGGTGTTCGAATTCACTTCGAGAAGCGGCATCCGCTCAACCTTGAATTGGTATTAACGTTTCGTGGCATAAGTGAAGTGAGTTTCGTAATGACATATGAATAGAATATCTGAGACACGTATAATCAATCATCTTGTTTTGTATTTTTAACCGATTTAAAAAAAAGGATAACTCAGTTTGACCTGTTTGTAGTGTATGTAAGTTTAAAAGCGATTGTCTCGCGTTAGTTGAACCGATTTTGATGTGGTTTTCAGCATAGTGTTAGTAAGTCTGACTTAGGAGAAGGTTTTAGGTAAATTAACCGACTAAAAAATGGAAGGTCGCATTTTAACACGGTTTTAACATTTTGTATAAAAAATATCAATGTCACTAAAAAGCATGAAATTAAAACTTAAATAGAACCGACTTCAAACTTAAAAAAAGTGAAAATAATATTTATCTCAAAAGCGACTTATTCAAGAAAATGCTATTAAAATCAGGCTTATCCGCCTACAGGAAACCTCCGCTCGATTTCAATGGCATTTTATTTGATTAAGTACCTTTTGAGATAAGTATTATTTTATACTTTTTTATAGAAAAAAAAAAAGAAATCAATAGAATTTATACACTAAATGATGATCAGTCACATGAGTGAATTTGAATTCAGGTTCGAATTTTTACAGAATTGCTCTGCAGCATGAGGGTAAGCCCCGAATCTCAAGTAGTCAGTTTTCCGCCTCATTGATACAACAATAGGTACGCCGACTGGGTAAAAAAAATGCAATTCTATTTAGTCCGTCAGTCAGATGATAGAAAAATATTAGATACGTATTTTTTTTACTTCAATTTAACAAGAAATAGCTTATATAAGAGGCATTAAAGTTGAGGAGTGGGGGCTCGCTACGTCACAGTTGAGTAGAAAACGTACCATAACGTGACGTCATGCGAAATTTCAACTCCATGTAACGCCGTAATTTTATGTTTACGAAAAGAATAAAAAAATACGTGTTTAATATTTTTTAACACTCTATCTGATGGACCATCAAACAAAAATTAGTCATCATCCCTATTCGCTACAAATAATTATTTATTTATATATAACAAATCAGTCACAATAAACTAAAGAATTAACAATACATCTTAAATAATATGCACAGTAAGGGAATATAATAATTATTCCTATTATGTCCTGGGTAGCTCAATGGTTAGAGCAGTCGTCCTGCTTGCGATAGGATTCGAGTTCCATCTCAGAGTGCCAGGGACAAAGTGGATTTTTTAAGAATTTTTCATTAAGAATATATCTTAGAGTAGCTCGGTGGCGTAGAGAATAAGCGCCGCGGCCCGCGATCGTTGTCGTTAAGCGACTTTTGCAAGGGTCGGTCACGGGATGGGTGACCAAAAATTATTATATCGAGCTACTTCGTTCTTCGGAAGGCACGTTAAGCCGTCGGTCCCGGCTGCATTTGCAGTCGTTAATACCCTCCAATCCGCATGGGCCAGCGTGGAGGGTTATGGCCCATCCTCCTTAACCATCCATAAGGAAGGCCTGAGCACCTGCAGTGGGGACGTAAAAGGGATGATGATGATGATATCTTAGATTAGTTAAATAATCAGATAACCATTGACAGAGACAACAGGCTAGTCATATGTTCCTTAATAAGTGCAATTGAGCCTCTGGCCTTACCAAAATACAAGGTTTCTTCCGTAGATATGCCAAACCATTTGACTCAACAAGACTGAACTGTACATTTTTATCGTATCATCAGTCATCATTGGTGTTGTTAGATCTGTTGACCGGTTATGCCTATTGTTTACGTTTTAATTGCATCTCATTAAGAAAGAAGGAAGACAAATGCCGATGTTAAGCATCTTTTACAAGGGTTGGGTTTAGGATGGGTGACCGAAAATTTGTGCCTCCAACTCGAGTTGCCGTGCCGCAACGAGCCGCCCCTCATTCGTGATAGTTTTCCCTATTTATTTACTGGACTTTGTTGTTTTGGAAGGTTCTGAAAGTTCTTCAAATGAGAATTCTGATTATGGTTTACCATCTAATGGAGATGTGGATGCTCTCGATGTTGAGATAGAATCGTTAGTCAATAAAGCCAAGGAAAAGAAAATCAAATCGAGGAATAAAAAAAGAAAAATGACGAGGGTTAAACGGACAAGAAACGGATTGAAGGTAATCGCGGACAATAAATCTTGATACTTGATTTTTTAATTGATAGCTTCATTGATTCTTGTCTTGTAGAATCTGGATCGCTGTCCTCTATCCGTGAGTCTCCTCGATCGTCCTAGTTCGCTGGCAATAATTGAAGACTCAAAACCACTCCAGGATAATATGAAACATGAACTCGAAATTACACGTGAGTACAGGCTACATTAGTGTAAAATAAACTATGAAGCGTCAAAACGATAATTAGTTACTTGACAATTTCGAGAAATGTGTTTTAAAAGCTTTTTTTTTCATAGTAAACCACTATCCGATTTATTTTTCTCCAAAGAGTAAAAATATATTATTAAGAATTAATTTAAATTGTCCCTCCAAAACAATCAGTTAAACACTGGTTGTACTCGCAACAAAGACGTTTAGTTTATTGAAATGTGACGTCACACGACTACGACGCTCCGTCATGGCCGCCCGTTTTGGTTCTTGTAATCCACAGAATATATATCGCAAGTTAATTTTGCAAAAAATTCAATACAATTTAAAGAAATATGGCGTACAACAGGTGTTTTCGGCATAAAGAACGCCTTAACTGTGGAAACATTTATTTTCATATTTCAGAGCCATCTGTAGATCTTAACAAAACTTCAGAGAATAATTCTTTTGAAAATGTAACAGCTGATCCGTTTGATGTTGAAATTGAGAGTCTAGTGTCCGAAGCTAAGGACAGGAAGAAAAAAAAGTTGGATTGTAAAATTAAAAAAGCAAAGAAAATTGTGAAGAGGCTTGAACACGGTTTGAAGGTAAAAATTTAACTGAATAACTACGAACTACTAATTGAGTGGTTTTAGTACCCGGACGACTGATCCAGGTACTAAACTTTGAAGTAGAAAAAATTTGACGTATCTAATCAGGGCCGGATTAGTCATGTAGCAAAAGTAGCAAATGCGGGCCCCGCGGGTTTGGGGGCCCCGCGGGTTTGGGGGCCCCGCGGGTTTGGGGGCCCCGTATGATTGGGAGCCTCGCTATGGTTCAGAGCCAATTAAGCTCATACCTGTTTCGAGAAGATGGTCGGTCGGGTAAATTAAAACAAAAAAAAAATCATGAATTCAATTAACCACTACTCGAGTACGCCCATGGTTGCGCGTTAACACGCTAATTTATTTATAAATGCATGTAGTTGTGAACCTATGGAGACGCGACTATTACGCGAAAATCAGCAAAATATCATGTTACCGCCTAATGGTTTTTTAAGCATTATGAATGCTAAACGGATGTAATATTATAATTGCTTTTTATAGAGTTCTAAACCTAAGAAAATCGACAACCAGAAGATAATAGTTGTAGAGTTGTCTTATGAAGAGATGCTGTTAGAGAGAGACAAAGAATCTACTAGAGAGAGCTACATCAAAGCAGCGTATAAATGTGACACGTGTTTGGTTGGATTCAACTATAAGAATTCATATAAAGCGCACATATCTGCGAAGCATTCGCCGGTTAGTGATTTATCTAAATCTTCTAAATATATATAACTCAAAGGTGACTGACTGACATAGTGATCTATCAACGCACAGCCCGAACCACTGGACGGATCGGGCTGAAATTTGGCGTGCAGGTAGATGTTATGACGTAGGCATCCGCTAAGAAAGGATTTTGATCAATTCTACCCCCAAGGGGATAAAATAGGGGATGAAATTTTGACAATTTTAACCCGATCGGACTGAGACTTTGCATGCATAAAGCTACTATGACGAAGGCATCCCCTAAGAAAGGACTTTGATCAATTCTACCCCCAAAGGGATGAAATTTTATTTCAGGTATTTTACACGATATACTCATATAATACCACGCGGACGAAATCGCGGGCAAAAGCTAGTATTTTATAAAGATAAAGAATAAAGATGTGTTTGTTTGTTTGCATTGAAGAGGCTCCAAAAAATTGTGGACCGTATATTTACCTGTTTTTTCGTATTATATATCATTATTAATAAACAGTTTGCAATGTTTTTACTTATGGCTACCATGAGCTCTGTCATAGATTGCGTTACCCCCACCTAATACTTTGCACCCAGCGAATAGTTTCAGACTTTTCTGTACTACACTTAATGTTACACCATGTATATGAGAATACTAGTGGACGCCCGCGACTTCGTCCGCGTGGAAGTCGGTATCCCGTGGGAGTGAGAAGTTTTCCCAGTAAAAAGTACCCTATGTGTTATTCTGATGTATAACCTATATTGCTGTAAAGTTTTATCCAAATCCGTCCAGTAGTTTTTTCGTGAAAGAGTAACAAACATCCATACATCCATACTTACAAACTTTCGCCTTTATAATATTAATAGGATTTGTGTAATTATAAAAATATATGTTTTAGGATAGTGGTGATTACATTTGCCCCATATGTAAGACTATCATAACATCTGTGGATTCATTTACCGCTCATTATAAAAGGCATTTAAGGAGGTAAATATATTCAGTAATATGTTATATGCCCTTACTAATTAAGCCAAGTCAGCACTTAATCTTTTCAAATGCAACTTCAATTGCAACTTTTCAAAGGCATTTGAATTTATCAATCACGGATAATTTTAGTAAAATGAAGGAAATGTTATTAATAATATTAATTTAAGTTGAATAAAATCATACTTTTATAACAATTAAAAATAAAGATATTGATAAATCAATGCATTGAAAAGTACTAAATTTTGGGAGTTCCACAAGGTAGTATACTGGGCCCGCTACTTCTGTGCTGTTATTTTAAGGATAAATGATAATGTGCAGATACGAGTGCAGTATTTGTCAGAAGCGAACTATGGACATGAAAGTAATGAAACAACATTACTATTCCACCCATGAGATATCGCTGAAGGAGTACAGTTGTGAAATATGCGGAAAAGTATCAAAGTGAGTTTGACAAATTAACAAGATGCGTTTATAATGAAAACAGAATGAAAATGACGTCTATTTTTTCATTACAGTTCCATAGACACGCATAGATACCATAAAGATACACATAAAGCTAGAGTGCAGTGCACAGAGTGTGATAAGACTTTCACTCATAGAGCTGGTCTTATGAATCATCGATTGTGAGTATCATTCTTAATTATAAAAGGATTTTTCAAAAATGTTTTAAAATGAAAATGAACAGGTGTAATTATATTTATAGAACTCTGTTGTGGTTGTTCTTCCATCTTGCCTATCTGCAATAATAGTTCTATTCCGGAATTTAAGTAGGAAATGTATAAAAAATGTCCAGAATATACAACGTGTCCCAAAATTCAACGATAAGCGGGCGCCAAGAGGTAGACCTGCTCATGTGTACTTATGGAAAAATAAGAAAAAAATTATATCTTATTAATCTTTTTTATTATAAAATAAAATTCGAAAATTTTTGAAAGATTTGTAGCGAATAGTAGTGCTACTTAGGTATCCGATACCAAAAAAAGATTGAACATAATTGAGAAGTTGTGGTCGTGGTAGTTGAAAATATCATAAAAGGTGTAAATTTTCGAAGATTTTCGAATTTAATTTTATAATAAAAAAGATAAGATATAATTTTTTTCTTATTTTTCCATAAGTACAAATGAGCAAGGGTACCTCTTGGCGCCCGCTTATCGTTGAATTTTGGGACACGTTGTATATTTATTTTGTTGATTTTGATACGTTGGTTTAAATTTTGAATTGACTGGTAATAATATCCCTAGTCTCTACATAAACAGTATTCAGCTAAATTCTGAAACAGTTTCCGGGTAAACGTCTTATCCATGTTATTATTTCTTTAGCACGGTCGCCGATCAGAAAGAATTTTCCATTGTGCTTCTGATAGATATCGTTAGCATTTTAGGTTCCATCTATTATGACAAAGAATCATGTCCAATTTTCACCAAAATATTTACTGACAAGACTTTTATATCGTGTCATTAACTTAAAATAATGTCAGAATAAAAATTATGGGGCTGATAAATATTTTCATAGAGTTATCCTAATGCGATTCGGACCGTACTATGACGGTTTTCCACGTTCCGTTTCATCTACTATGGAAAAATATTCTTTAATCACAAGATTAAAAAGTACACCTTAAAAATTACATATTAATTTATTTCCATTTTCAAGAGTCAAACTGTAAAAAGCTTTACATTAATGCATTAATTTTTAAAGTAGCTTCACAATTATTTAATGTTTTGACAGCTGAAGGCCTGCTCTGTTTCTCCGAAAACGAAAATTTGTTTATTTTCGAAACCCTAATACGACTCTAAAGGAACAAATTTTTTGATAATTTATAATGAAACGGAGGTAGGACCCTGACAGATATTATTGATAATATTGACGCATATGATTTAAAAAAAAAAATTCTAAGAACATTTAGAAATTTTTGTTATTTTCGTTCGTAGACAAAAAGAGTAGCCCCTCTGTTATAAACAGAGGTCGGAATTAGGTAGAGTTATTTATGTACTTGCATCGAAATGTTGATATTAATGTGGACCTTCCCGGGATTTCTTTATTTCTTTCTTTCATTGATGTAAGTTTGGCAACATCGTGCGTGCAGTAGTTTAAATTGTGTAAAAGTAAATAACTTTTATTTAAAAAATCACGGGATTTTTTCTGCTCTTTAAAATTAATCTTGGGATTTGAGGCATATCCACTTTATTCTTTCGCTGTATGAAATCAGTGTAAGTACATGAATAACTCTACCTAATTCCGACCACTGATTATAACCTCAAAACATTATTTACAAATTACGAATCTCCCTGGCCTTCATATTAAGATGCTTAAATTTTATTCTTAAAGGAAAAATAATTTAAATTGTCACTTATGATAGGTAGATACGATCTATAAAAAAAACATGTGCCAATCGACGTATGGGAAGTGGAAATGATTCTTTGACTAGACGCAACTGTGCGAGCGAAATGACGGCATGTTTGCGTACGAGTAAAATATATGTGTAGTGCCTGCCCTGCGATTTTATAAAAACACAGACCCGAATTCGAATTCACGTCATTTAGTGTAGATGATGATAGGGATGATGACTAATTTTTGTTTGTTTGTCCGTCAGGTAGAGTGTTAAAAAATATTAAACACGTATTTTTTAATTTTTTTCGTAATCATAAAATTACGGCGTTACATTGACTTGAAATTTCGCATGACGTCACGTTAGAGTACGTTTTCTACTCAACTATGACGTAGCGAGCCCCCACTCCTCAACTTTAATGCCTGTTATCTAAGCTATTTCTTGTTAAATTGAAGTAAAAAAAAATACGTATCTAATATTTTTCCATTATCTGACTGACGGACTAAATAGAATTGCATTTTTTTTTACCCAGTCATCATCCATATTGTATTGATTCCTTTTTTCGTGTAAACATACAAAACAAAGTTGATTGAATATACGTGTCTCAAATATTCTATTCTTGTGACAATTCGAAACTCACTTCACTTATGCCAGGAAACGTTATTACCAATTCAAGGTTGAGCGGATGCCGCTTTTTTAAGTGAATTCGATCGGATACTTGAGTGAATTCGAATTCGAGTTTGGATTTTACAGAATTGCAGAGCTGGTGCGATATTGTCTCTGATAATAATTATAAATAAACATTGTATAGGTCGGTGCACGAATTAAATAATAAGTTTCCTTGCACCATATGCGATAAGGTATTCCGATGGAAGACGAGCCTGAAACGGCATATAGAAAAACATGATGTCAAGGTAAATAAATTGTTTTATTATATTTAGAATTGAAATAATATAAATATAAAATAACTAGCCTTCCGCTAGCGGCTCCGTCCGTGTAATCTAGTTTTAAGTCTAGAATTAAGTAAATTCCATAAAAACTTTCATCCCCTAATTTACTTCTTTAGGGGTCGAATTTAAAGCTATACCCGCGACTTTGTCCGCGTGGAAAGTTACCTCTTATTATGTATGCTAGTGAAAGTTGCGTCGAAATCGGTCCAGCCGTATCAAAGATAAGCCGGAACAAACGGACAGACAAATATTGAAAAAAAAAATTTTTTGTATAAGTAACAGTGTATTTTAATGTTATAAACAGACACTCCAATTTTATTTATTATTTTGACGTCGGGCCGCGTAAATTTAAATGTACTTATTCTTCTTGTCACCAAGATTGTAGTATTAGGTGAAAGGTAATTCGGTCCCAGTGAGGAATGATGGGTGTTGACGACTGTTGATAAATACAACCCGGGTTCGCGGCACATACTCTCTAAATCGAGGAGATATTAGATCGGTGATTCTCTAAGTGGTGCAGCTGAGACCACAAGGGGTTTCAATGGGGGTTGATGTTGGCGTAAAATAAAAATTGGGCGCCAATTTCCATTGTTAGATCTTCACATTTTGGAAGAATTTTGGGAATATGGTAAATATTCCCAAAATTCTTAAATTCTTAAATAACGGCAGGGGGTCCACCGAAACCAGTAAATTTTATAAAATGGTCTACGAGAAAAAATTGTTTGAGAACCTCTGTATTAGATGATATTAGATGCATTATCGGTAACCCATCTAAAATTATCTTTTTTTATTGATTAGGATAAGTCTTCGACAGCGGCATATTGTGCCACATGTGGCGTTACATTCTCGTCTGTCTGTTCATATCAGCGACATATGAGGAATAGTCTTAGGCATGTTACCCCGGAACAGTTAAGGTAGGATATATTATGTAATAATTCACATATCCCTTTTAGATTTCATCTTAAATTGCCTAAACATTGAGGAGAATACGCTATGTAGTAGCGAAAGATTCGTCAGTCCTGTTAGGTCCTGGGAAGCTCAGCGGTTAGAGCAGTCGCCCGGATTGGGAAAAGTCTTGGGTTCGAGTCCCATCTCTGGGTACTTGGTGCTAGTGGATTTTTTAAACATTATTATTTGAAAATGTTTCTGTAAAAACTTTTTGTTGGGATTAGAAGTATTAGACGACAACCGTAGCTGAGTGGGTCGGTTTTGAGGTGTCGCCATCTTTGATTCCCGGTTGAGTCGAATGTAGACAAATTAAATTTTCTACAAAATTGTCTCGGTTACATTATAACTTTTTTACAATACATTACAGTTTTTTTAAAATAACTCGACTAAAATTCAGTAGAATTTCATTTAAGTGAGTATATATATAAATGATTAATAAATGATTAAAGTTTATACTTACATTGAGTTCAAATGTCACGTGACGTCACAGCACATCTCAATAGATTTTCTACATAATTGTGACGTAACGAATCTCCCCTTAACTTCAATGCCTATATTACCTTAAGTCATTTCATGTTAACTTGAAACATATTTTTTTTTACTGAGGCATCATCGCTAAGTAGTTAACTAAATTGCGCGTTTACACGTACTTCATTACTTAAAAATTAACTTAACTACTTACTGACTCAAGACGTGTAAACCAGCCATTACTTTTTGTTGTGTCTTAGTTTTATGTGGGTAGTTTTAAAGTTTTTACGACTGCACGTTGTACTCAGATACGTGTGTGATCACTGCAAGCGTCGGTTCGCTGATAAAACTAAACTAAGAGACCACATAGAAGAGAAACATTTACACAAGACTTATCAATGTCACATATGCTTGAAGGTGAGTTATATTCTTTTACACTTAAAGTTCACTCTTGAAAATAGCATTTGATCAAAGCAATACAATACTACGAAATATTAATTTATAAACATATTTAATCAAGGGAATGTCCATATTAATATATACAGGTGACATTAGAAATGGCTACTTGACTTTTTTGGGAAAAGTATTTTGAAACTTTTATATGATCATATTCAATCACTATCAGGATTGTTTTTCTCAAAAAATATAATTAATTAAAAGAATGAATTTGAGCAGTGACGTCACATTTCAAAAAACATGAGTGCCGAAGACTTTGTTTATATGACTTCACGCGTTGCTCAGTCATGTAATCCACAAATTATAAATCCAAAATTAAATTAAAAATCTTACATTAGGGAACGTTTCCAATTTCTGGGCGCAAATCATAATCGCGAGCTGCGGTCTGGGGCGGATAATGTGCAGGAGATTCCTTATACTAGATCGGGATACTACCATGAGTCCTTTACCATTAAAGCTGCTGTGCTCTGAAATAAGCTGCCGTCTGCTATTCGACATGCAAAATCTGTTGCCATTTTCAAAACTAAATTGCATAAGCAGCTTTTGGATTTGTACATATAATATATTGATTACCTTGTAATTCTCATTTTTGTATTATCACACTACTTTATTTTCTCATTATATTATTTTTGGCTGTTTTTTCTATTGTACTACTGGCACACTACCTCCGGTTTTTCCATCCAAATGTTACACAAATCAAAGGTTGTCTGGAAGAGACCGCTTTTAGCGATAAGACCGCCTTTGCCCACCCTAGCATTAGTACCTGTATTGTTAATCTATTATTAATAATTATGTGTGAACAACAAAGTGTATATCTATCTATCTATCTATCTAAATTTCCGAAAATAAAAGAAACCTACAATTTATTTTTAAACAAAATACTACATGATTATCGCTTAGGGACCGTCCATTAATCACGTGAAGCTCAAAAGGGGGGGAGGGATTCGTCAAAAATCACGAAATATCACAAGGGGTGGGGGGTGTAGTAATATATCACGTGTATTTATTTTTTCCTCGACGCGCGATTATTAAACCGAAAAGCGACGTCAAAAATTAAGATTTTAAATACACGTGATTTGGTTGAAGGAAGGAGGGGTAGTCTTAAACCTCACCAAGGGGGAGAGGGGGGTCAAAAACTTTTGAAAAAACATCACGTCATTAATGGACGGCCCCTTACGTATAAGTTACCATTTCTGACACATTTCATAATCGATCGCTATAACTGTCAAGCAGGGGTGGGGGTGGGGGGGATGGTTATGTCCCAAATTGAGTTGATATTTAAGTAAATATTATCGTTTGTTTCTAGCCTTCCAAGAACCGTGTAGGCCTAGATCAACACATAAGGAATATACACAAAGGCAGGCCCAACAACAAGATGTGTCACCATTGCGGAAAAGGATTCCCGGTGAGTGTGTAGCGCCGCGCCCTGCGATCGTTGTTATTAAGCAACTTTCGGGAGGGTCGGTCACGGGATGGGTGACCGAGAAATTATTTTTCTCTAGCTATTCTGTTTAGCCCACAGTCTCGGCTGCATTTGCAGTCGTTGATACCCTCCAATCCGCATTGGGCCAGCGTGGAGGGTCGTGGCCTATCCTACATAACCATCCATAAGGAAGGCCTGAGCCCCTGCAGTGGGGACTTGAAAGGGCTGATGATGATTTATGAAACGATTATTTGTTACAATAAAACAAATAATATGCATGATTAATGTGTCGTCAAATGGCAAAGAATTATACACCTTAAGGTTATTTACAATAAGACTCATTATAGATTCAAGTTTGTCAAATTTTGCTATTTAATTTTTAAAGCAGTTATTCTCAAATGATTACGCTGTACATACAAGTGTAGGTTAAATGACTACGCACGGTTTGCTTAGTTATGTCATTTGAAATCCAATATGGCGGACGGCACAAGATGGCGGTGCCCTGTTATGATTTGTGTATCAAAAATCGTTTGTAAACATACAAAAACTATAAAAGGAGATTATTCTCAAATCATTAAGAACTTAAAATCACAATCACCTATTGGTGGATGTTAATGACTGCAGATGTAACCGTGAATGATGGTTTAACATGATCACTGCAGTACATAGGAGAGATTTTCGGTCACCCATCTCATGACCGGCCTTTGGGAAAGTTGCTTCGTTTCGCAGAAAGAACGCGCTGCGCCGTCGAGCTATTATCTCTTATTATTACTATCAAATGAATGAGTTTAAAGTTTTGTATAAAAGCTTGTTATGTACATTTAGTTAAGAGCCGACCAAAATATTTATTTAATAAATAAAATATTTAGAAATTGCCTAAGCTGAAAATGTATTTCATCCAAGATTTGGAATAACCTAACGACATTATGCAATGTATAACGTTATGCATTAGCGTTATATGACAGGTCACAAATATCTCAATGGATAAAATAAAAAATGTTTATTTAGAATTAAACTAATCTGAGAAGCTGAGCTTTGTTCTAAGTAAGTTTAAAAAGGTGTTATTATAGAAAAAAAAATTAGAACTTGTCGCCATTGTTATGAGGAAATATTAAAAAAAAACATTAGTTCCTGAAATCGAACTAGATGTCGCTACGGTATTTTCTTGATTTCTCCATGGCAACCCTTCCGGTATTCTTTCATGTTCAAAGGTAAATTAGTTTTCAAAATTCAATAAACAACTCATATTCTATTTGTACTTTTTCGTATTTGTACTGATATCTAAGTTTCGAACTTTGCAAATTACAGTTTTTTAATATGTTAGTTAAAAGGAACGGAAATGACTGTCTTTGTTCCATTCGTTTCCTACAAAACTCAACTTTTACTAGAGTCGCCATCTAGTGATGTGATTGTTTAGTGCTTTTTTTTTAATACTTCCTCGTTTAAAGTGTAATATCCATTTTTCCTTCACAGACTAGATTGCAATTAGAGTCACATATTCGAACGCACACGGGCGAGCGGCCGTTTATATGCGAATTCTGTCCCACGACATTTTCGCAGCAATCGAATTTGTATAAACACAATCGGCAGGTGAGTATCACTGTGTGTCGAATGAAAATATCTAGAGATGTTCAGAGGTTCAATGAAATATATCGATATATCGAGTTCGATATATACCGGTTACTGTCGATATCGATTTATTTTAGGCCTTATGTTATAGTAAAACGATCTTGTAGTAAAAACGTATTAATTATAAAATAAAATAAAACTGCCAATAATTGGTGGCGCCTACTGAAGTTCGTAACTTCGACAGCCTATTTCCTAGAAGACTGTTCCTAAGGCTAGTCCGCATCCGCGGATCTTAACTCCAAATATTCGCATTCGGAAATGTATCCGTGGATATACCTTAACAATCCGGCACATCTCTAGTGATTTTAATAACCAGTGCTGAGTGAGTAGAGGAGAAATATCGATTACAATGCCCATCACTGTTTATCGATTGCATTACATGCATTCTTATCCGTCAGTTAACTTTCACTTTTCGATGTTAAATGTCATTCTCACAAACTTTCAAACTCTATTTCAACCCCCATTTAAGTAGTTTCTGAAATTCTTGAAATAATCTTTTTATATTTTTTTATGAGTAAACTAAAATAAAGTTTCAATGTCTATCTTCCAACTTTCCTATTCTCAACTTCTTAGGGGTTGAACTTCCAAAAGCTCACCTTAGTGTCTACTACATAAAGTTAAAATAGATATTAATTTCCAGGTTCACTCGAATATCAAAACCAAACGTTATACGTCATGTAAGAAGAGGAAAGAAGATAAACCTGTCGATGTACCATCTGATCGTCCATTTGACCCATACAGACCTATAGCTGTCCTACAATACTCACCAGATAGGGGATATGTTATTTAAGTTATATAAGATTATTATTTATTTTTCTTTTATATTTATAAAAAAAAAATATTGTTTATTCGTTATTTTATATACAAATATTGCTCATTGTAAATTTAAAAGGATATGTATTTAATTATTATAGTTAACAAATGTAATTAGCAATAACTCGAGTCGATTTTAGTTAATATTTTATTAAAATAATTACAAGATGAATTTGTATTTACCTAAATTCTTTATTTATTTAATATTTACAACCTACAGCATATTCTAATTTTCAAAATCTATCGCCAATCACTTAAAGGCGTAGTGATTTATGGAATTATGTAATTGTGGTTTGAATGACCGAGAAAAAGAATAAAAACTTATCCCATCGAAACATTGCAAGTAATATACAACACTTTCTCAATAACTTTAAAAGCGTCTAACACTTCGCTTAGACAATTTCAATTACCGTCACATTAACAATATCTTAAAAAAATAACATTGAAAACGCTATCACCTATCGAGGTGGTCTGTGGCGTCAAATTCGTGAATTTCTTCAAATGTCAAATTGAAAGGGATTTCGATAGCTTCTAAAATTTGAAAATTAGCCCCTTGATTAGACGTCAAAGTGACAGTGACAGTTCACTGTCAGATATAGGGATGGTCTATAGAACTCGATTATAGGTTAACATTATTTAATACTCAAAAGTATTTATATCACAAATATAATGTTAAGTATAAAATAATTATTGATTAATTATGTATAAGAGAAATGTGACTGATTTTTGTATTATGAAATAAAAAATATATGCTAAGAAACTTATTTATTTTAAAACTGCCAACCCTCTGGATTATGGAGATCTGCGCCCGATAAGTATTCTGCCGTGCTTATCTAAAATCATTGAAAAAATAGTTTGTAAACAGCTCGCCGAATATCTAGAGAAAAATAATATCTTTCCAATGTTTCAATCTGGTTTTCGCAAGGGACGAAGTACTACCACGGCCTTGATCGATGTGGTTGATAATATTGTATCTGCTCAAGATGATGGTATGTGTACCTTGCTAGTTCTCCTGGACTACTCTCGCGCATTTGATGCTTTAAATATACCGTTGCTCTTGTCGAAGATGAACTCGTATGGCTTTGATCGTGGTGCACTCTTGTGGTTCAATAGTTATCTGAGTAACCGAAGACAATATGTAAGCTTAGCTTTAGACAATGGAAACCTATTCGAATCACAAATTGCTCCAATAAAAAGAGGCGTCCCGCAGGGTTCCATCTTGGGTCCTATTCTTTTTAATTTGTATTATGCGGACTTGTTAAAACATATAAAAAATTGCCAGTATCATATTTATGCGGATGATACTCAGTTATACGTTTCATTTAGACCCGATAACTATGAAAGTGCTGTTAGGAACTTGAACGAGGATCTGGTGCGTGTAGCAGACTGGTCGGAAAGAAATTGTTTGTTGCTAAACCCTGATAAAACAAAATTCATGCTGTTCGGAACTAGAAATCAACTGCAAGATTTGCCGCAAGATATAGAACTGTTTCTTAATAGTAAAAAAATAAAAAGAGTTCACATAGCTCGCAATTTAGGTTTAAAAATTGACGAAAATCTTAAATTCGAGGAACACATTGCAGATTCGGTAAAAAATTGTTTTTATCGACTTAAAATCCTATACAAAATAAGGTCATTTCTGTCAGAGGAATTGCGTGTTCAGTTAACCGAATCACTGGTGCTTTCTAAGCTCAATTATGCTGATGCCGTTTATGGACCACGTTTACTGGGTAGGACTGAGCGACTCATACAACGTGTACAAAATGCCTGCGCTCGTTTTTGTTTTTCTGTGCCTGCCAGGTGTCATGTCACCCCATATCTAAATGACCACTTGATCCTAAAAATGAAATCCAGAAGGAAGTTGCATTTGGCATGTTTGCTTTTCGGTGTTATTAATTTCAAAGAACCGTTATACTTATATAATAAGCTTAAGTGGGTTGCTGGTGGTAGGCAGACTGAGAGGAGGCAATGTTCACAGCAATTATCTATACAACGACATAATTCGGCCTCTTTCAAAGGAGCTTTTCGCTATGCTGCTTCCAAAATATGGAACAATATCCCGCCACCCCTAAGAGCTATGAAGTCGAACGTTGGCTTCAAAACTAAACTAAAAAAATATCTTTTGGATGCACAAATAGCTATAGGTATATATAATGCAAATAACTCTTATATATAGCGGCTTCTTGTAATGGATTGATATTAATTTCCAAAAGTTGCTTAATTTTAAATTCTCATTTTTATTAAATGTACGTGTGCATGGTATTTACATTTATGGTGAATGTAATGGATGATTTATTTTAAAATATGAATAAATTACAATACACATATATAATGATAATTGAATTTTTTACTATTTATAAATGAATTTGTTATTTGTAATGTTTAATTTCTTTTAATCTTCGTTTAATTTTAATTACTTGTAAGAGGCTTTCTTGTCGACAATTTGACATCTATGTGTCAAAAAAAGACAATTAGGCGTCAATTGAAAATCGGCGTCAGGTTTAGCAACCTGACAGTGAGCTGAATTGGCTGCCTATTTCGGTGCAATGTGTGACGCATTTTTTCTTTTTTTAATTATATTTTTTTTTTTATTTATTGTAATTATTATAAAATGTTTTATGGCTATTTATTTGTGCACCGGAATAAATACATTTTTCTTTCTTTCTTTCTTTCTTTCTTTAAAATCCCAGACATAATTAAATAGGAATTTCCCTTTCCTGAGCCTCAATAATATGCCTTCCGAAGCACGGAGGAGCTCGATACTTTAAATTTTTGGTCACCTATCTTATAACCGGTTCTTGGGAAAGATGCTTAACTTTCATATTGCAGACTGAACGCATAATAGTCCGGTCGCCGAACAGAAAGAATTCGGTACCCGGCACTCATCTCTCATTCGTGCGCAATCATAATGCTATTCCGCTCGCACAGATGCATTTAACCAATTTTATCACAGTAAAGTGAACCCAAAATATTAATGATATCTTTGTCTTTTTGTTCGGCGACCGAACTATAACCTGTCAGATATAGGGCGTAATGTGGTGAGCTGGTTTTTATGACATGAAAATTAACTTTTTTGGGTTCTTGCTTAAAAATAAAAACGGGTCCCTATTACTAAGACTTCGCTATCTGTCCGTCAGTCATCAGGCTGTATCGCATGAAGTGTGATATACAGGTGAAATTTTCAGTGACAATTAAAAACAGAAATTTAATTACATGCAGCAATTCGATCGATAATTTTGAGATTATCGATTCGGTCCTTGATTGTTGCCTAAAATTTGGTTTGGGAATTTTTATAAAGCGTTAAAAGCAGAATAAAAGTTTTCTAAAAGTAAATTTACATTTCAAATAAAACAACTTTAAACTTTGTTACGATATCTCTATTTATAGAATTCTAGATATTTTGTCGACTTAGATTTCTCATCATCCGCCCCATTATCTTGGATGACATCGTTTGTTTTTGTAATAACTTCATTATTTTCTTTGCTTTCTTTAACTTCGCTCATTTTCTGATTTGTTTTTTTCTCATCTACTTCATCGTTTTTACTGAATATACCTTCGATATACCCTCTAAAAGTTTCATCAATAACTCTTTTTAATGTATCAAGTACACTGTCGTCAACTTCTGATGTTTTATCGACGATATTATTTATTTCATCATGAAATTTATCTCTCTCTTCTTCCTTCATTGAATTATAACGTTCTACAACCAAAACTTTGAAAGCATCTTTTATAGTTTCACCAATTTTTTCTGTATCACCCGTTTCAGCGTTATCATGGAGGTTTTTAATCAAATCATCTAGAAGTTTCGTGTCTTTCTCATTAAAGAACTTATTCAATTTATCAATGGACTCAAAAAATGTAATTGCGTGTGGATTGTTTGCGAAACGTCTAGTTTTAATTTTTAGCTCAGCCGGTTCTGTTTCAGATAGTTCTTTGAGTTGTTTATTAACAAATTTCTTCACTTTATCACTGAATAATATTGGATTATAAGGTGCTTTCCTGTAATAATCATTCACTTCTTTTTGTAGAATATCTGCTAATTGTTTTAAAGTGTTTTCTTTGTAATTCAATAGTTCTGTGTTCAGATCTACAAGGAATTTAGACAGTATCTTAGATGCTGGATGTTCTTTATAATTTGCCTGTGGTTTTATGTTAGAATTGCTTCTCGATACGAAGACATTTTTCAAATTGTCCATAACATAGCCAGCTGATCTAAGTATGTTAGTTTTTTTGAATAAATCTCCCGGATCTACCATTATGGATGCTTCTAATTGCAAGTTGATCGATTTGGGATTGGATGCAGTTATTGACTCTGAAATTGTATGAGAGAATTAGTTTTTTCTATACTAATAGGTATTATAAAGAGGGCAGACTTGACTGTTTGTTTGCATCTAACCAAACTACTGGACCGATTTTAAAAATTCTTTCACCTGCGGGAAGCTACATCGTATGCGGTGGACATAACCTATATTTTATCCCGAAGCAACTAAAGGGAAGGAATTGGGAGTGGAAGGTTGTATAGGGAATTAAAATGTAACCATAGTTAACCTTTGTATACTATTATATGAAACCTTATCCAAATGAATTATTAAATTGAATTCTAAGCCTGGATTAACATATGATCTACTTTTATTCCATTAAAAAGTTGCCTGGGGCATCTGCGTGGGGGCATCCGTTGGCGGAAAGCTAGCAGATACATACAAGAGCTAGATGGCGCTTTCTTTAATGTTTTCGGCTTGCGATATGGAAGTTAAGCAACAGGGCAATAGCAGGGTATGCCTTACGGCATTAAGTATAGCCTTTGCATGCTTGCTTTTTATTGCAATAAATATTTAACAAATAAACCTAGTATACTGCAGTGTGGTCGATTGTTAATGGGAATGTCTGGACAGTGTAATAAAAAACAAATGGATAAAAAATCACAGCGAAAGTACGGAAGACGTCTATCACAAAAATGGAGTAACAAACAAACGACAAAATAGGAAAAAAATATTGGAAAAATATAGAACTTATACACCATGATATCTTCGGGCATAAGATTTGTTAATATAGGTTGGAGAAGACAAAGGCTCCTGAAACACAGTTTTTAGCTAGCTCGGGAGCCCTTGGATTCATTAAGTTTTGTATTATTTGAAATTATGTGAATAAATACATTTTTTACTTTTTTTTTACTTTTATGATACACACGCAAACGATGGTGCGATACTGAAAATTACGTAATACGATTTTCGACTGATTTTTACCTCTTCTCTTTACCTCTACCAGGAATCGAACCCGAGATGGAGACGCTTTCTCGTTACATCATAATTTTACTCCATATTTTCTTTAATTTATGGACAACCTCTGTTGTTCTGGTTGAGAGATTGTCTCACACATTGACGGTTTTGGTATACTAAAAATATTTACTAACGCGTCTAGTGATGTGACATATCTCAAAATGTAGCTTATGTTTTACTTATTTCATTTAATTGGGTCTTCAAAATTCTGAGGATGATAATTGTTTTTAAAAAATTCTATGAAAACTATCAGAATGCGATTCGGATATAATGATGGTTTGCTACGTTTCATTTCATCAACTACTGAGTGCATGTGTTGTTATTTAGATAATATTAATTTATAGAATTTAAATATCAGTTTATCGACTTTTAATATAATTATTCAATAAAACGCATTGATAATAATACCAGAAGAAAATAATGATGACAAACTTAAAAATTAAATTTAATATTTTCTTACCTACTAACAGAGTCGTTACAAGAAATAGTAACATGTTTCTTATCTCAAAAAACAATCTGTTATAAAACGAAAATTATGATTTATTTCGTATAAAACATGAAAGTATAATTCACAAATACGCCATAGTATTTATTAGTTTTAATACAGCAGTATAAAGACAATGTGGAGACGATGGCGCAGTGGTTAGCTCGGTCTGCGATACGATTGCTAAGCAACTTCCACAATGGTCGGTCATATGATGGGTGACCGATTTATTGTCTCGAACTCCTCCGTGCTTCGAAAGGAACGTTAAGCAGTTGGTCCCGGCTGCATCTGCATTCGTTAAGCTCATGGCCCCAAACACGAGCGCCTTAGGCAGTTGCCTAGTTGCTGCCAGACGGGCCAGACTGGTTATACCGCCTTATGTATACAGTTCTTACTGTCTGATAAGTTGACAACGGTAAAGATATCCTATACAGTCTAGCTGCGTAGAAAATACGCTTACAAGTATGGAAAAAAGTAAAAGCCGCCCGCATCGTGTAAGGTTGTAGTTTTCGTGTCCCCTCTGAGATATTTTTTAAGTATTTTTTTATTACGATACTGCTTTATTCATTAACATTATTTCTCAGATATTAATGGACTATTTATTTATAAATTAAAAAAAATGTCAACTAGCCTATTGTTAACCAACTTCTATCATACTAGCTATTTCCCCGCAACTTCGCCTGTTTAAAATTACAGTCTACGTCCCCGCGTATTATGAAGCTTACCATAGATGATTTTTTTTAAATCGATTAAGTAATTACATGAAATCACACAAATCATTCGCCTTTATAATATTATTATAGATATCTGCCTAAAAAATGTTTTCCAAGATTCATTTTTGCGCTCCAAATCCTCGTGTCGACATTCTACAGGTTTGTATTCACATGAAGACATTTTGTTATTAGTTCATGGCAGCCTTGAAGCAAGTCTTCTTTTTTGATTTATCAAACTTGTTGCAAGTCAGAAACAAGTTTAAATTGCTATCTGGGTTTGAACAGCTTGATCGGTGTTACATACTATGTCATAATACATACCTAAAGTATGATTCACATCACTACTGATGGTTGCCATTTTACGTCCCCACTGCAGGGGCTCAGGCCTTCCTAGTGGATGGTTAAGGAGGATGGGCCATGACCCTCCACGCTGGTCCAATGCGGATTGGAGGGTATCAACGACTGCAAATGCAGCCAGCACCAAAGGCTTAACGTGCCATCTGAAGCACGGAGTATTTATTTATTTATTTCAAATGGACCAACAGCATACACATTTCAACTTTCTTCAGTAAATCACAGTTAGGTTTAAGTCTTATATATATACCAATTATAGGTTGACACAGCATTGTTAACATATGTGTGTAAATGTTTTTTTTTTAAGTACAATTCACTCCACCATCGATGAAAACACTAATAAAAAGGCTAAGGCACTCTCCGGTTCTTAGTGAAAAGTCAGATCAAAATAACTGTAACACAGATCGCAGGGTTTTACACAACCCAATCTAGTCCATAGAACTAAAGAATTCCGGAATCTGAGCTTTAAAACTTATCTGCGAGTTAAAAAATATATCTAGATTAGGCAAATAAGAACCGACATTATTATATGCAGCAGAAATGCGAGGCAACGGTGAATGCCTAAAAACATTACTCCGAGATGCGGGAATAGAAAACAATTTGGATATAGGCTTCCTTGGTATGTTATATGGTACAGCAATGGTGGTACTATTAATTTTTTTTCCGACTTTATTACACCATCCATACATTTGTAGAGAAACATCAGATCATGAAATTTCCGACGACTGCGCAAGGAGGTCATTTCAGTGTTGAAAGCACTGCTTGTGGGGTGATCTATGGAAAATACCTGGAGATATGAACGCTAAGTGTCTAGTAAATCTTCGCTGAATCGATTCAATACGCTGAGAATGGATTACGTATGTCAGATTCCAAACCACCGAGGCATTAGCTCACGATATTTTTTTTTAGTCACCCATCCCGTGACTGACCCTTCCGAAAGTTACTATACAACAATGCGCGATTGTTGTTGGCCGCGGCGCTTATCCACTACGCTACCGAGCTTTGTTATGCCACATAACACCACCAGTCTATATAGACATTTGGGGCATAGGCCTTCCCTGAAGATGGAATCCACAGGTTCCCTTAAGCACAACAGGCGCCTGGATGCAAGTAGTGCTCTGGCGTCCCCCCCACTTTTTACACATATTTATATTAGAGACCATCATCGGCGCGGCGCCCCCCATACCCTGCACTATAGGTTAAGCCGCCCCTGGGAATCGAATCAAATCGAATAGGGTGAATGAGCCACGACACATCACGAGGGCTTAGTGCGGATTGCAGCCGAGACCAACAGCTTAACCTGCCTTCCGAAGCACGGAGTAACTCGAGATAATCAATTTTAGTTTACCCATTCTGTGTCTTTGCATTGCGAAAGTCGCTGAAGAGAACTGAGTCGCGATTTTAATTATTCCCTTTGAAAAGTAAAAACACATGACTCGCATACACATTTTATTTTTTTGTACAAAAATACAAAACAATATCATTATCTGAATAAATTAACACTCATTACTTATGCTACTACAATACAAATTAAATTTATAATATAGTTTTAGTTCAATTTCATGATTACTATGCAAAAGAATACAATGCAACATCTGCTTATGACACGCAACTAGGGTTGCCAGATGGCCGGGATTTCCGACATTGTCCCGGAATTTTGCATGTTGTCTCGTGTCCAGTAATTTTACTTTGCTGTCCCGGAATTTAAAATTAACTAGTTTTTTTTTCACAAAGTTACGATACTACGGCGTGAGGTTAGCCACGGGAGTGGCTTAAAGTCAAAGGATTTTTCAAAAAAAAAAAAATTTTATATTTTTCATCAATCAATAGTTCTAAGTGATTCCTATTTAATTTAGTCTCGGACCGGAGACCAAAACTCTGATTCCGTTCGTGGTCCCAGAAATGTCCAGGAAATGATCAGTCTAGATCTGGCAACCCTACTCACAACCCGTAAAATTAGTGTGTTCAGACTATAGTGTCTGTTTTAATAAGATGAACTAAACAGACATTGGACGTGTTCCAGTGGCGGAATAAGGGGGGGGGGGCGGTGCTCTTATCCTGGGGGGCCTCCAAATGGCTGAAAGTTCCCTTGGTCAAATCATAAATTTGGGTTGTACTGCCTTATCTTTCTTAGTTTGTAGTTTTAGCAGGCGTCTTAGCAGGGGAGGCGGTGTAAACACAAAATCAAATTTCTGCACCAGTTGTAAAAAGTTGTAGGTACGGACCTAATGCCGCCCCGGGCCCCCAACAGGATTAGTCCGCCACTGACGTGTTTACATTGGTAGTTTAATATAATCTCTACATAGATGCTTTCACAGTGTCGTTTATCGACGCCGACAGACTGTCGTACCGATATCGGCATTTGTGCATACGATATAACTGTCGTCCGAGCCAACGATATATGAGTATCGTCTCGTGTCGTTATCATC